CGCGCCGCGGGGCACGCCGGGAGATGTAGTCCCGCAGGGAGGCGGCCTGGGGCCTGCGGGGCCTTGTCCTGCCCTAATTTCCGGTGGGACAAGTTTCCGTAGGGAACATAGTTCCATCTGTTCCGTAGGGAACATATGGAATGTGAGAGACAAAAAAATAACAGCACCCAGCGGTGCCACAGCTACGTGAAAGCCTGAGCTAATGCAAGCTCATAAGCAGTAAGGCATCCTCGTGTCCTTGCAGCCCAGGGAAATGAGGAAGCTGAGGCACTGACTGGATTATGCTCGTGTGTGAGGAGCATAAAACTACCAGGAAATGTCGACATGAGGAGATAAATCAGCATGATGCTGAGAGGGGGCCTGAACTGTGAAAGTGGGGGCAAGGAAATTGACTCTTGCTGCCTGTTCCTCCTGAGCTTTAGCAGGAAGCGGGATCGCTCAAATGTATCCCAGCTCATCCACTGCTTTTCTCCCCAGTGTTGTCCAACTTCCTTGGCCAAGAAGGGGGCGAGAATAAAGTCTTCTGTTGTGGGTGCTGCTATGCTGGACTACAGGGGTGTTAATGCCATGGAAGCAGATGCCTTTTCCTTAAAGAACCGCAGAATCACAGACTGGCTGAGGTTGGAAGGGACCTGTAGATATCACCTAGTCCAACCCCCTGCTCCAGCAGGGACACCCAGAGCACGGGGCACAGGGCGGCATCCAGGCGGGTCTGGAAGATCTCCAGAGAAGGAGACTCCACAGCCTCCCTGGAGAGCCTGTGCCAGGGCTCTGTCATCCTCAAGAGGAAGGTGACAACAACTCCAACTCACTTTTATGCATCAATAACTGAGTTCACATTAATAATTTTGCACCTTTTGACCTTGCACCTTTTGACCCTTTGACTACTAGACCTAGATAATCCAATTTGCAAATTATGAGAATTTTGATGTTAACCAGGAGGAAAGACATTTTCCATGAAGTGGGCAATACATGCTGTATCATAGCTTTATGAGACAGCGCTCACTGTTAAAAGCAAAGAAAAATTGGAGTGAAGGAGGGTGTAACATGATGTTAAATGAGGAAATTCAATCTCAAAAAAGAATGTTCTCAAACAAAAGAATTGCACTTATTCCAGCATATTTCCTGCTTATGTATAGATTTTGTTTTCCTTTCTCCTCTCCGCACTTCCTCCTAAGCCATCTTGTTCCCCTCGCGCAGCTGCTACRTCTTTGCCTTTCAGACTTCTTGGTGGTGGCCAGTGACAGGACAAGGGGCAATGGGTACAAGTTGAAATGCAGGCAGTTCCATCTSCACATGAGGAAGAGCTTCTTCACTGTGAGGGTGCCAGAGCCCTGGCACAGACTGCCCAGGGAGGCTGTGGAGTCTCCTTCTCTGGAGATCTTCCAAACCCGCCTGGATGCTGCCCTGTGCCCCGTGCTCTGGGTGTCCCTGCTGGAGCAGTGGGTTGGAGTAGATGATCTCCAGAGGTCCCTTCCAACCTTAACTATTAAGTGATACTGTGATTTGAAACTCTCACAGCAACGTTGGAGGCATCTTGGGCACCATGACTCATCTGAAGCTTTCTGGCCCCATGACGCTCCCCTTCCTCTGTGAGCTGACATGTCAACTCTCCCCATGCTAATCCATCTCCCCCAGGCCTGCTTCACCCTCCTGCCTAAGGCCTCCCCTCTGCAGGGTTTGTCTATAATATACATTTTACATAACACCCTCAGCAGTGGAGACCCTGCTTGGCTGGACTTGTCATTGYTGAAGAATCATTGATTAGAAGGTATATACATGTCATGAGTTATATATATTTTATATTCATRCTATATACATGTTACAAGATATATATGTTACAAGGCAGCAAATTGATGAATAGCTAACAAAAAATAAATATTGTCCTATATAAAAATAATATTTGAATTGTATCAAATAATATCTAAAACAATGCATTGTGATTAAATATTGTGAGYAGTATAAAGAAGTGTTGTCTGGTGTCATATGGTACATTATATAACTCACAGCCCATATATCATCAATTATCAATTTATGATAATTAAATCACCATAAATAGCTGCCATAAGACAATCCTGTACAGTACAATAAAGTCTTTTCCATTCTGTTCTGAATGCTTTAAATGTTAAATATTAAGTAGGTTTCGTACACTGCAGGTGATGTGTTCTACCTGCCTCTGAACATTGCCTGCAAAGCACRAAGTGACATTGTTTTGGGCTGCGGTAAAGAGACAAGTGAGACACCGAGAGGTAAATATGTCACTGATTGCATCTGAAAAGAGGTGATAATTTAAACCAGTGTCGGTCTGGAAATTAAAATCTGATGATAGACAAAATCCTCAGGGAGGAAAACCTATCCTACCAGGGAGGATGGATTAGGAGCTGAGCATGGAACTCATTCTGGGGGGTTATTGGAAGTTAATGATGTTGCAGCTGGGCAGGGAGGGATGAAACTCCTGTCTAAGGGGCTCTGTGTTTCTCTCTGTTCGCAATCATCTCCCATGACCCAAGAATAAACGATGATAAATCTGTTCCTGGGGTTCTGCCTGCATTGGAGGATTTGAGATGAAAACGACGCAAAATCAGATTTCAAAAAAGCACCTAAGTACTTACATATATAAGCATTTATAAAGTTTATAGATATATGTATATTATATAGGTATATAATATTATGTAACTGTATGGAAATAAGTATATAATTATGTAATATGTATAATTATATAACATGTATTATGCATGTGTATTATTGTATATTATTCACTGTGTATTACTTCCAGAAATAATTTTTGAAAAGGTTTAGTAACTTAATATGTTTGAGTATATCATATCCGGAAAAAAAAACCCTCAGCTGCGTGGGATGGACTAAATAAGCTCGCTCATTGCTCTGGCCCCCCTCCAGCAAACCTATATGTAATGGCACAGGGGTCAATTCATATATGTGATAATCCCGTTAGGGTCGCCTAATTCAGTCCAGTGCATCGCTGCACCACACACACACACAAACCGCMGTGCAAAGGCAGCTTTGGATCCTCTGCTTTCTTTGGGGGTGTGTTTCACGTCGACAAAAACCAGACATCCGGCAGCGAGGAAATTGTCTTATTAAAATAAGAATGAGCTCCAAACGGTTAAGCACGTTATTATTATTATTTTTTGGGGGGGGCGGGGGGGGAAGGGAGGAATTTAATTCATGTTAAAAAAAAAAAAAAAAAATCCAAACCAACCACAAGGGAAAGATGTGTGTTTTATTTTGCAATGGAAAGCGGTAGCCTCTAGGGCCCGGGGGATACGCAGGGAGGCATTTTCTCCTGCTGGTGCAGCTGAGAGAGAGAGCGAGCGCGAGCGAGCGAGAGCGAGACCTGGAAATGAAAGTAAAGAGAGCAGGAGGCACATGGAGGGAGCTGCAGGGGCAGCCGATCCGGAGGCAGAATGCTTCCTTCTATAATTAAATAGCACTTACTATTATTATTACTTATAGTAATAATACTTTAATAATATTTCTAGTAATATAATACCATTTATCGGGAAAAGTTATACGTAGCGTGGGGGGGGAAATCCAAGGAGAGGTGAGTCTTTTCTTATTATTGTTTTTTTTTGGGGGGGGGGAGGATGGTTGTTTTTTTCGTAAACCGATTGTATATATGTCTGGAAAATGCATTTGTGCGTATGAAGGAGGGACGTGAGAAACGGGAAAATCTGGATGTTGCTTCATTAAAAAGTAAACATTGCAATGGTAACCGTGTAGAGGAAACGTTTTGTGATTGCAAATTTAAAAAATAAAAAATAAAGTGGAGAAAGAAAATATATTATCGACGGGGTTTTGAAGCTGCCCCCACTCTTCTGCCAAAATTGTGGGGTTTGCAAAAAAAAAAAAAATAATAATAATTGTCAGAGATCCTAATCCCACCCCCCGGTAAAAAAAAAAAATGTGGCGGTAGTGTAAAAGTGAACAGCTATCGAAGAAGCCCTGGGGTTTATATTAAAAGAAAACTTAGTGTTAATTGTGCTTGTGCCGATTTGTGGTTTTAAGCTTTCCAAGCTCCGCTTGAGACGTGGATTTCGCCTGCAGTTCCCCCCCTCCGATTTGGTATAAACCCCATGAAGCAGCAAAGCAGCCCTTGTGGAATAGCTTTCCAGAGGCGCCTTCCTCAGGGGCTTGTAAAGTTTTATCGAATAAGAAGTTCTTTTTATTTTACTGTTTTATTTATATTCCTTGATGCTTTATATGGTTTCCGAGTAGAAGGGGAAGGTTATCTTTATTTATTTTTTTTCCCCTTAAAGTACCCTCCATGGTTCCTGGAAATGTCTTTTTTTATTTTAAGTCGGTGGGGGGTTGGGGAAGGAGGAAGAGTCTGTTTGGGCTTGTTTGGCGTTTTATTTTATTTTATCGTATTTATTTCTCCGGGGAAAGGCTGGCTGCCTCTTGCCGCCGGGGGAGCCCCCCGGCCCGGCCCGGCGCGCGGGAAGGCGCCGCCGGCCGCGCTCGGCCTCGGCCGGCCGAGGTGGCGCTGCTGCCTGCGGCGGCCGCCAGGCAAGGCCGGGGATCAGCGGCCTAGTCGGGGCTTAGGGGGCTGCGGGGGGAGCCGCTGCTTCACGCGCGTGAAAACTGACCCGAGCTTTATTTTATTTTATTTTATTTTATTTTATTTTATTTTATTTTATTTTATTTTATTGATATATATGTGTTATTTTATGTAAAAGGGCTGGTAGAGGAAGTGGCCGGGGGAGGGATGCAGCACTGCTGGCCCCCTCGGGCTCCCCGTGTGGGGCTGGGGCTGCAGGGGAGGGTGGCCAAAGACGAGAAGGTGCAGGCAGGGGTGCTCTCCTGTGGCCTCACCTGTCTCCTTCTCCCTTCCCTGGRGCACCGGGCGCTGCCTCTCACTGGGGGAAGAACAGAGGCCGCGAGTGGCAGAATGGCCCTGTGTTAGCTGGACACGTCCCTGTGCTAGTTGGAAGTGTGGATGCGCCAGGCTGGTGTCGCCCTGTTGCCAGCTCTCTGTGGGGCAGGGGTGCTGGGACTGAAGGAGGCGGACCTGCAAGGTGCCGGGGGTGGGAGAGCAGCTCCTTTCGGGAGGTAGCATGTACCGGGACAAGGTAGTTGGTCCTCATGGTGGTGTGGCTTTTGAGGACCCAGAGAGTTGTCATGTTTGAGGGGTGTCCAAACCCTGGGTTCAAGCCCAGCTGCCAGAGTGAGCTCTGTCASCAGCCCAGTTTGTAACTAGCTGCTTGGCTTTTGCCTTCTGCTTGACGTGAATCCAGCTCCATGTTCTGCTGCTTGGCCAGGGCAGTGTGTGGCTGCCCATTAAAGACTCCAGATTCACAGATTAGTAGAGCCTGGAGCCTTTTGCCCGGAGGAACGTGCACAGAGCCTGGGGCCGAGCTCCTGCCCCACCGAGCTCCTGCCCCACCGTCTGCCRCTTTCATCTCGGTGCGCTCATTTCTCACTGAAACGTGACAGTCAAGGCCTGGATGTGAGGCAAGCGTGGACTGATTGCCCTGCCACAAATACATTATAAAAAAACTTTGCACAAATTTAGCTCTGGTAGGGTTGAGAACAACGGCCRGGTCCATAATAAGGTTGACTCAAGTCTTTCCATTTGTCTTGTGTTGTCTCTTAGAATGAATCTATGAAGGMCGTGATTTAGTTAGCGTGCTTAGTAGCTTGAGCTTCCTTCCGAAGGCAAGGAAACACTTTTGCTGATGTGCAGTATTTTCTGGTAGTTGTTTTGTGCAGTTGTTTCTGTCTGGCAAATAGTTTGTAACTCATTGACAAACTGTGAATAAAGTCCTCTCTAGATGCTGGACAAGAGAGGGATAGTCATCAGCTCTGTGACTGAAAGCTGGAGCGTGCTGGCAAGGTTATAAGTTCTGGATTCAGATTTGGATGGCAATTTGAGCAGTTTTGGGAAGGGTAATTTTACTTCATAAAATGTTTGCCACTATGTTTCTAAAAATAATTAAAGACAACAGAAGTTTATCATGGCTTTTTTTTTTTTTTTTTAAAATTAATTACCTATCCATTGTGGTACAGTGCCTACCAGAAGCATCGTATGTACTGGTTGTTAGTTGTGTGTTTGAATTACTGGTGTAATAACTTCATAGTTTGATCCAAGGGTAAAATGAGACACTGTGAGGAGTCTGGAATGAAAAAGGCAGACAGAAGTGACCAAGTTTCCTGTGGGGTGGCCCAGACATGAGGAGCAAAAGGGATAAGAGTGGTCAAAGTGGTCAGGGGTGGTGAAGACAGAAGAGAAGCCTTTTGCGTGCGGTGCGGTGATGTGGGRTCAGGTCGAATGGGAAAGGTGGTTTTTCCTGAGATGCATGAGGTTACTGGGTTTGCAGTGCTATGCGTGGCATGCATTTTGAGGGTGTTGCAACAAGAAGATGAGTCTTTCTTATCTGTAAAGCTGTGACATAAAGGTGAAGGTATGAGGGAGTTTTGCCTGGGAAGCTGGTTGCCTGCCCTGAAGGGGGTAGGAATGCAGGGGAGTATCAGAATACAATGGTGTGGAGGGCAGATGAGGCCTGTGGGAGGTGAGGCTAAGACTGCAGAGAGTAAACAGCACACAAGGGATAGAAGTCTTGGGGCAGGGGAAGGGCCGTAGCAAGGATTAAGGCTGTAGTTGGGTATTGTGTAACCACTGACAGAGCTGAGGTAGGTTGGTGAGCCATCAAAATGAAATAAAGATGCATGTAGGCATGTTGGATTCAGTAGAATATGGTAGACTACTTCGGCAATAGTGATGAAGGGGATGCAAGCTGAAGGGGGGGCTCCAGGATGCAGGAAGATAATGTCTTACTGTGGGTAACTGTTGACCTTCTGGTCCGTAGACCTTTGGCTTCACTGCAGCCTGTAATCGATAGCATTTAAATGCTGTTCTCTGTGGCTGAGAAGCAGTAACCAGTTCTGGCTGTTACCTATGCCCACATCCTACTGTGTAGGATGTTTTATCAGTGGGGTTGGAATAGCCATGAAAACAGATACTGATCTTCTCTGCCTCCCTCCTTGCAGTAATATTTTAAGGAAAGAGCTGAGCGCAGTAGAAGAGATTGGAGTAAGCTCAGCCTTTTGGAAGCTCTCCAAGTTGATGTCCCTTCTTTGTGGATAAACCAAAATTTGAAGGTGTGCCACAGCATTTTTGGAGGGCAGCCACCGGCTTTGCGATGACCAGCCAGAGTGGAACTGTTCTCCCCACTGTCACTTCTCTGTGGGCCACTGCTTCACTTGTGCATGTTTTGTTCTCTCCTCTGTGGCTTGTGTCAGGATGCTGCAAAAGTTGAACTGTTCTTCAAGGCAGTTTAAGCCAGGAACTAAAGGTGACAGCAGCTTGGGGTACAGTCTGACTGTGTCTGAACAGGGTGGGCAGAGCAGGGTGCCTGTAAGAGAATCTCTAAGCAGTCTCAAATAAGATAAAATGATGCATTTGGTCCCCCAAAGCAGTCCAGCGGCAGGAGGTGGTGCCAGAGACAGGACTGGAGATGACTTACCCAGAGCGCAGATCCAAGGTCTTTCTAGGAGGTAGAACTGAAGGCAGATGAAGCCATAGGGTAGCTAAGATGCGACCTGCATGCCTGGGCCTGGATTTAAATAGAGCCCCTGAGCCCTGGGCCATACTTGGATGATGAAGATGCCGAGAGAGGCTGCTCAGCACATCTAAGGCTTCTTGGTGTCCTCAGAGCCAGGCAGCTTGAAACTCTACCTTCTTCCCTTTGCTTTCTGTCACAGTCCCCTTGACTCTTCCACTTCCCCCCTCCATCTCCAAATTTATCTCATCTCTCCTTGTGTTGACTCTTTTCCCCACCTTCTTCTCTGATGTCCCTCAGTTCTCATCTACTCTGCTCTGGATAGCTCTGTCCTCTTACAGCTGTCATTACTATCTACATGCAGATGGTTCCTACTGCTTCTCTCTACTCTCTGTTCTATCCTACTTGCTGGCTTTGCAGAATTTCATGCAAAGAGAAGTACTGTCAAATCAAATCTCTCTTTTTCTGCTCCTTAAGTCTTTATGTCTGGAGCTTTAGTGATCATATTAACCTCGGTCTCCTTGTTAAATTTCCTTCTCTCTTCCTGATTGCTCATTATCCAGGTTATTTATAAGTTGTTCCAGGTCTTCTGTTGATATTGTACTGAAGTCTACCTGCTCTTCTCCACCACGTCTGCTAAAAGCCTTTATGGAGACCTTGATCATTACTCACCTTGTCTGTTGGCATTCTGGCGTTCCCTTTCTTGCTGTGCCTGCCCTTCCCGTTCCAAATGCAGCTGCTTAAAATCTTCCACCTGCTGTTTGGACCAGATTGCTCCCAAATTTACTGTCTGATGTCTTACRGACTGCACAGTGTCACTTTCAAATCCTTGCATACCTCAGCTATGATTTCTTTCTGCTCTCCTGTCTTTTTTTCATCTTTTCCTTCCAACTCTCCTTCTTGGTAGAGATCTGGCATCATTTTTTTTCTGCAGTTTGTATGGTGGGGACTGCAATACACAAGGGCTTTTGGAGATGTCGAGATTGATTTGAACATACTTTRAAGGTCCCTTTACCCTATTCCAGTCTCAATGGCCCTTAGATATCTTAAGATACCTGAGACTGGTAAGGATGGCTTTAATGTAAAAGGGAGCTGGGCAGTAGTGCTCTCCAAGCTGTCGTGGCGTAGGTTGAGAAGACACTTTCTCATAATCACTTCAGAGATGATCCCACACYGGGAGCGCAGTGTCATCATCATCTCTGTCTCACCTCTATTTCTGTGGTTGCTGTCTTGATGCCCAAGTTACTGTTCCTCAAGTGCTGAGCATCATTTGTCGTCACAGCTGGCTGAGGGCAAGGCTGGGAAATTTGTGGTCACCCRCAAGTCCCTCTTGCCACAGAAGGTGCCATCCCTTCTCCCCTTCCTATTCTTGTTTTATACAGCAGCCTATATCCCTTGTTGGGAGGACAGGGAGCGGTTCTAAATTTGCTCCCAAAGTGCAAGGGATAAAGCTCATGTATCTAGTGCTATGATTCAGACCCACTTTAGTTGACACCAGAGCTATTGCTCCACCACATTTCTAACTTACCGGCACTTGCAGAGACCCACCTTGGAGCTGCTCGAACCCAGACGAGCTGCTGTGCCTGGCTGTCTCCCTGGTTGGAGAAGATTACTTTCTATTGAGTCTTCTTCAGGCACTGCCCACCCCATTTTTAAAGGCTGCAGCAGGGGCTCCTGTCCCCTTTCCTGGAGAACATTCAGAGGTCTCTGCTGTCCTTGCCTGTGGGGTTTACCTGTTCATCTTCAGCCTGAAATTCCCATGGCTTATATTCATCTCTCTTTGTGTGAATCTAAGCAAGCTATTCCTTCTCCTTTCTAGTGTTTCTATCATACACTTCCTGACATATAGGTTGTTTTGAGTGCTATGCTGTAAACCAGTTTGAATCTGGCTCAGATAACTAGTCAGAACTGCTTATAATGGAAGCATCCCCACACAAACTCCTAAAGTCATTTTCATTGCAGGAAAAATGTTTTGTTTTGTTTTCTTTTCCCTAGAAAGCAGTCACAGTTACTGTTGGTTCCCATTGCTTTATTTATTGGCAGTCTAAAAACTGAAGTAATTTCTCTTTGCCTCTGTCCTGTCAGTGGCATGTGAGAAAAAGCAGATGCTGGGTAGTGAGTCGCTTGCCATCCTGTGTCTGCTGTGCATATAAATCAAGGACTTCAGTGTTCAGGGCATCTGGTCTGGAACATTTTGTTAGTAGTAAATTGAAGCACACACGAAATACTGTGCTGCTCAATTGCCAGCAAGACCTGTAATTGTTTTTTTTTTCTTTCTTCCTCTGCAGCAATTATAATGGAGAGACAGAAGAGAAAACAAGAAATAGAGAAGGGACTTCAGTTCATTCAGTAAGTGGATAACCTCCCTGTTTCCTGTGGCTTTGGAGGTGCTTATCTTCATGTTGAGGATTGCACAAACTGAATTTGTCCTGCTCRCTGCTCTGGGCTGCTGCTTGGGAAAGATGTATTGGGCCTGAGGATTTTCACTGTATTTCTTCAAGATGTTTTTTGTACCAGAGCTCTCTAAACTCAGAATGGCATTGTTTTAATTTTACTGGGTTTTGCCTTCTACTGCAGTTCCAGGATAATCTTTGTAGTCACCATACTGCTAATGTTGTGCTTTGCCTGTAGCCCAAGGATCTAAGCCTTTTCCTCTCAACAGGGTTATCCTGACTTTCCTACAAAGCAGGATAATGTTTCTACTTTCCAGGTTGCGAGAACAGGGTAGATTACTCACCAGATGTCTCATATGGCACCTATAGCAGAAGCAGATGATCCAGGCTCTTTTAGAGTTACCAAGTTGGTAGCTGCCTCAGGTCAGTCTTCTGTGACTGTCTTGTAGCTTTCYAGAGCTTGGGATGAGCACTCACGTTGCAGCTAGGAGTCCAGGTTCCACCTCATAAATACCATAGTGTTTCCCCTCCAGTGGCTGAGTTAGTTAAAAGCCTCAGATTCAGGTCTGAGTTCCATGGTGGTTAGGAGCAAAATTACAGCAAGATTGTAATCAGATTTTTTTTAAGGGGTCCTGCAATTTACTTTAAGAGGTCCTGTAATTATTATGGCTGAAGTGTGTGTCTCTGTAAGACACAAAAAAGCCAGATATTCTGTGTTATATATCTATATCCTGCATTGGGGCCATGATATTTGCACTCTAATCTGAGACTAGATGAGGCCAATAGGTCCAGTTTCAAAGAGGCAGTTTCGAGTGGTTTTTCTTTTCTTTTTGGTATCATTTATAAAATGCACAAGCTCCTTGGAAAGAAAGTGWTGTAGAAACAGGGGGCGTTTTTCATACTTCTGGAGTGTATCTTGGACCCTGAACCTGACTGAGTTTCATTTGCTATTTGTGAGCTTGTTTWGATGTGAAAGAGGGGTAACCCAATTTTGTCTGCAGCCAAAAYACTTCCTACAAAGAAGTAGGCAGACATAACTAGACATTTCTTCTAGTTAATTTTAACTACTGATCAAATACAGAGATGTTTATTTTCTGATGAGTAATATCATGTATGTAATGGTRTTTCAGTATGAGTAGGGCTGTGAAAAGTGCTAAGGACTCTCTAGAGTCTCATGTCTTTTTGCTGAAGGGGAAAAAATTAAACACACTGTGAGCCAAACCTGGATGACCTGTGTGGTCTGAGCTGGAGAATGGAGCCTTCTGCCTAAGTCTCAGTGCTCCTACAGGATGAATATTCTTCACAMAAGAACTGCCAGCTCTGTGGGTCTCCAGCCCAACAGTGCTGGCCAAAGCAGATGGAATTAAAGAGCCTCTAGAACTTGCTTGGTTTTCTCCTTTCTTTGACGTTGTTTTTGTGGTGCAGGCCTGAAGATGTGTAGGTGAGGAAACACAGAGGAATGTGATTGTATTTATCACTGTGTGTCTTCTCTGTGGTGACACAGAGAGTTGGAGGCAATCTTGGAGTGACCGGTCCWGCTTCAGGTGTTCAGTAACTCTCACTTAGATTAACATAGGACCAGAGAAATGGCTTGTTCATTGAAAAAGTGTATGTTTTCATGCATGCCTGTCTCATGAGCATTTCCTTTTTTGTTGTTTTTTCAGGTCCACATTACCTCTAAGCCAAGAAGATTATGAGGTAACCAACATTTTGTTTTCTAAAGTTGGGTACCTTTGGTGAGCAAGATTTTTCATATTGCACAGGCATTAGTTTACATAGCAGAGCTGGASAGCATTAAATTTTTCAATAATTTAAAACATTAAGGATTCTGAGAAGAACAACTTCCAGGGAGAGGAGAAGGCAACTGAGTACTTTAAGAAAGAAGATTGTTTAAATGAWTGTCCTCTGCCAAAAAAAAAAGGTGTTTTACAGGGGAATGGGAAGGGAGGAGAATTTTAGAGGGCAGAAAGCCTGCTAAAATATAGGGAAGGGAAATTGGAAAATTTGTCTTTCTGCCTTTGGGCCTCTGCTCCATTATTTGTGCTCTCCTTGCTGCGCAGGCCTTTTTGCAGAAGCTGGTGCGAAACCTGTTTGCGGAGGGCAACGACTTGTTCCGAGAGAAGGATTTCAAGCTGTCGCTGGTGCAGTATGTGGAAGGGCTGAACGTGGCGGATTACGCAGCCTCCGATGAGGTGACCATCCCGAAGGAACTCCTGTGCAAGCTGCACGTCAATCGAGCTGCCTGCTACTTCGCCATGGTGAGTGCTTTTCCAAGCATCTCCCAAAACTAGTCAGGGCATCCAGGTTGCTGCTGTGTCATGTGATTGGAAGAGGTGTCAGGAGGGGATTAAATTGATTTCTTCCTCTCCGRTCTCCAACACCAGAGGAGACAATAACGCAGAGAAAACTCTGGTATCTCCCTCCAGCACTGTGTTTGTTAGAGGAAGAAGATGAGGGAAAGGAAGCCTACTGGTGTTGGTCAAGCCAAAGTGCTGAGAATGCAGTTTAGTGCCGTGTTTGAGAGGAGTTAATATAATGCAGAGATCAGATTGGAAAGCACTAACGACTTCCAGAATTGACTCTTCAAGCATTGCTCTGAAAATGTGCCTGTCTCCCCTTAGAGGGGAGAGGCCTCCAAAAACATGTGGGAAAGAATTCTGAGGTATTCAAGCTCTTAAGGGTTGCAATGTTCTGTTTTCTTTAGGAATCCAAAAGCTGTCTTTTATGGCAAAACCCCAGAGCAGGTTCATCCTGTTTGTGTGAGGCTGAGCACCATAAAAAAAAAAAAACAAAAAAAACAAGCAGTTACATAATTAAAGACTGTCAGATGCAGCAAAACCAAGGTAAAGGGGAAGGCTGTGTAAAGTTTTTCAAGCTGCCTTAATTCTGGCATTTGCTAACTTTCTACTTTGCAAGCCTTAACAAAATTTACTTTTATTGTAGGTTCTGTGTGCTTGTGTGTGGGTTTGTGTGTGATGTAATATATGGGTTTTCTACTGCCTTGTGTGATCTTGTTTCCTGTGGAGAGACAAGAGTTGCATTCAGACAGGGAGAGAAGTTAGAATCTGCATTGCCTTAACTGACTTGAGGCTCTCTTTTCCGTGCAGGGTTTGTATGAAAAGGCACTGGAAGACAGTGAGAAGGCTCTGGGTCTAGACAAGGAGAACATCCGAGCGCTCTTCCGGAAAGCCCGCTCCCTGAATGAGCTAGGGAGACACAAGGAAGCCTATGAGTGTAACAGCCGGTGTTTGCTGTCCCTCCCACATGTAAGTTTTTGACACGCAGCTCATCTTGACTTCTGTGACACTTCAGCACTTCCCTCTTCTGTAACATCGTGTTCAGGGTGAGGCCTGAGGGAAGAGGTGACCTGGCTGTGCCTGGAGACATGTGTATGCCCAGGAATTGTGTCTTGCTGACTCAGAGASGGCATTTGAACTCTGGAGTGTTTTGCAGTGTGCGTTGCCCTCTATGGACACTGCCAGCTGGAGACTCTGCTTAGTGGCAGCAGGTTTGGTGGCCTGTTTGTGAAGTGCAGAAACCTGTCCTAACAAAATACGAGTTGAGGCTGTGGGATTGTTTTAACTAGCTGTTTTTGTGAGTCTAATGTGAGTTGCTAGCAGCATGGGGGAGATGGAAGCTGGAGCCCTGGCAGGACAGCATGTATCCTCTCTGATTTTAGAGAAATTTGTCTGATGCTTTATTTTGTAGTGGCTAAGACAAGCTGAAAAAGTTTATTATTTTTTGAGGGGCACGTGAAGGGGTCCTTAACATCAAATGTGACTTATTATTTTTATGTTCACATGTGTGTGAATTTTTATGTGCAGAGAGGACTGTTGGCATATACCGGGCCCTGGGTATTTTCTCAGTAATGCTTCTAGTGAACTAGTATTCTCTGTTTGGGCCATGTGCTGAGCAGGAAACCAGACTGTAAGAGATCCTAGTGATCACTAGCTGTCTTTGCTRAATTTGGTTCTGATAAATCATTTTAATGTTGCTACTAGAAAAATGCATCTGCTTCCTCAGGGGAAGCAGACTTTATTTATTACAGAAGCAGTCTCTGAAAGATAAGCTTTTCCAATGATTGATTACTCTTTAATTCCTAGTTCCTTGGTCTGGCAGAACAAGTGGCCAAAACATGTTAAAGGGATCAATTTAGGGACATTCCAAATAACTTTATTTTTTTAAGTACTCATTTATAACCAAAATGATCTAATATATGTGTTCATATAAAGCTGTATATGGCTGTATACCCTACAGTGCAACTGAGCCACTTGATTGTATGGTTAGGTCATCGATTTAGTTGTGTTTACCTACTTCTCATATCATTACAGTCACTGGGATCTCCATACTTCTTAGGGAACTCCCCTTGGCAAAACAGTTCAGCCTCTCTCTTGTCAAAATGGGAGGTGGGATTGGCTGCAGGAAAGGGAAGCCTCAAGACGCATCTGGGGAATGACAAGGAGCAAATAACCAACCCACCTCCGAACCACAGGCTTGATGATGGCAAGAAAGAAATTGGAGCCAGTCTGGAGGAAGATGCATTCTTGGTGTTGTCATGATCTGGACTGGGCATCAGAGAGGACCTTGCAGAGTCAGGCAGGCATGTGGAGTTAGACAGGGTAAACCTGGTAATTCATGAGTGGGAGATCAAGGAAAAGTGATAGTATTAGAGGTCTTACTGGGGGGAGTCTCTCCTACCCTTTCCACAGGAAGCAGGAACAGGACAGTTCTCATCAGAAAACATTGGAGGGAGTGTTTGGAAAACTGGAAGAACCATCAGAGAGCAGAGCACTGAAAAGATTGATCTGGGTATAATGTTAATAAAGGTAGAGTGCTGGTGGTATCAATAAGATCTGGGGGTTGCAAGAGAGGGAAGAGGAGGCAGTGACCATGAGACTTGACCAAGAAGAGGTCTCTGGAGAGTAGAGAGACAGTTTYAGTACAGGAAGATGGTACACCTTGGAGGGGTATAAAACAGCTAGAGAAGAGAAAATGAACAAATGAATTTAGATTTTGCCCTGTCTGAGTTCAGAGAAGATGGTGAGGAGGCCAGTGAGGAGGCAGAGCAAGTACAGTCAAAAGATGGCACTCTGAATTGAAAATACATTGATAGTGTGAGGTGGAGAGTGAGGCCAATGAGAAGTTGAAAGAGAAAAGGTGAACCTGTAGGGAGGAGGAGGTTGGAAAGAATTGCACTGCTAAGCAGAGAGAAYAGGGCAAGCTTCAAGATGGCAGATGAGGGAGGAGATGTTGAGGCACCAAGTAAGGATCTTGCAATAGGCTTGGGGCAGGTTGTTAGTTCAGCTAAAACTGGAGAGGAGAGGCCTGAGCAGGGGAATTAAGTTTGGCTGAAAACGTTCTCCAAAGCTCCAGGTGATGTGGGAGCAGGCCTGGGAGGTGAAGTGGGAGCTTGGTTGATGGGGTGCAAAGGGGAAAGCAGAACAATCTGCTTAGTGGAGCTGAGGCTGTTTAACCAGAGCTGAAGTCAGTAAAAATGCCTTGTTAACAATTAAGTTGGAAGCTTAAGACTTGGTAATAGTTAAAGTAAAAAAGAAAGAAAGAAAAAAAAAAAAAAGAATGAACCCTGTGTGCATACAAAAATTCATTATTAGGTGATTATAAGCTCTGTGGTGGGCAGAGAGGAACAGAGCAGGCTGTGCTAAGCTCCTTCTTCTTCCCAGATACAGGGACTTTGTGGAAATTGTATCAGGCCCTGGCATGAGGACCGCTGATAGCCAGTGACAGCCCCTCCAGGGCCTGTCCTGCTGGTGGGGACCCTGAACCCTGCATTCGAAGAGTGGGTCCTTCCTTGGAGGCAGAGAATTGCTTCTCATTTTCTGCAGCACTGAAAGTGTGTGGGGAGAGGTCCTTCCTGGTAGAACCTTGGTATCTCTACGTGCTGAGTGGCAGGAGTGCTCAGGTCTGCATGGACTCTTGGAGCTGCCCCTGGCAGTTGCCTTCCTGCTGCTGGCTGCAAGGGAGGCCCCTGGCCCCAGCCCAGCGTGGGGAGCCACAGCCACGTGCTCCTGTGTTGCATTATGTGTGCCTTGGAGACAAAACTGACACCGTTCTTCAATGGGTTTGGCCCTAGGATGAAAGCGTCACGCAGCTGGGACAGGAGCTGGCCCAGAAGCTGGGCCTGAGAGTTCGAAAAGCGTACAAGAGGCCTCAGGTATGGCTTTCTTTTTATTATTATTTATTTTTCTTTTAAGAGTAACCGTCCCTTGGCTCTTGCAGATTCACTTTTACGAAAGCAGTAGGTGCTGCTCTGCAGTTACCCACACTCATATGGCAGCCTGCCACCTCTCCAGTGGRTCCCTGAGTACTCTCTCCTTGTCCCCACCTTCTGCCTTGCTTCTGCCTTGACCCCTTTCTAACCCCATCGCTGCCCAGTGTCGCCTGCCAGGGTGTTTCCTGTGTCCCCAGCTGAGCAGGGTAGAGCCTGGCAGTTCTGGAGGAGAGGCCGCTGGTGCAGCAAGGGCACGTGGCTTCATCCTAGAGGAGGTTTTGCATCCTGGTTATGTGTCGGAAGGGAGGGATCCTCTGCCATCTTGGCGCGGGGCCGGGCTTTGTATCAGAGRTGGCTCATGTGGTCACTATCCCATAAACTTGCTTTGCAGTGAAGAGAGGACCTCCACTTTGGTAGCTTCACAGGTGCCCATCTGGCCAAATGTCAGGAAGGGCGACAGTGGGAAGTGAGTCATGAGTCCTGTGAATTCACCTCAGTGGCTGGATGCGTAACCTGAATTAAAAGAAGGGAAAAAAAAATAAAGTTCTGTGGTATTCTGTTGTTTTTTTAAAATATGTACCCGGGGATGGAGCTAGAGGGCGTCTGGCCACAGCTTGCACTCTGATAGAGCCTCCATGCTCAGCCCCTGAGATGCCAAGAGGCGTTTTCGGGAGGAAGGGACTCCATTTCCGGGGCAGTCTTGGCTCAGATTCCCAGTGGGATGGACCGCCGGTGTGCGGGAGCCCGCTCCRCCTGGCTGCGCCCCTGGCACTGGCTCGGTGCCCTTCCAAATCATGCACCACCTCCGAAGAGCCCCTCAGCAGAGGGAAGCGATTTGGTGCTCMCAGTCTGCAGGGAGCTTTTGAGGTAACGGTGGCTGCTTATGCATAGGGAGCAGCTTAAAGTCTGGCCATTGAAAAGCTCCTGTGGGTGATTGGCCTCCCTAAAAAACTCTTGACAGTGTAGCAACTCTCAGCACTCCGAAAGGGTCTCCAAAAAAGGGAAGTTTTGCTCAGAAATATTTCTGCAGCTGCTCGGTGCGTTGCCCTATCACATTTGTGCTGCTGTCATGTTACTCGGTGGAGATGGGCTTAAAGCAACTGTGTGCTAGAAATAAATAAAGATAAAAAAGGCCGAAGTGCTTTTGATTAGTTGAAATGTAGCAACTGGTATTTTGCTAGCAGCTTGCTACCTTTCATTCCAAGGCTTTAGTGCCTTGCCCAAATTTTTTAAAGTCTTTTTTTTTTTTTTAACGAAAAGGCAAAAAAATGTCTTTTTGGAGGTGATTTTTCATTTTGCTGTGTTGAATGGTGTGTGTTTTGCACTGAGGTGGCCAGAATAAATGTGCAGCCTTTTGCAAATCGGGTAAGCTGTACCTTTGTGTTGCATGGTATGCATTCTGAGGTGGCTTTTTTCCCCCTTCTGAAATGAAAAGGAATCCTATTCTGTGCTATTAAATGGATTATACCTGAAAGGAAACCATGTTATAACCCAGCTTTACCTGGTTTGCACTCATTCAGCACATGTCTCTGTTCTAAGACCTCTCTCTTCCTTGCAGCAGGAATTGGAAACGTTCTCTTTACTCACTAATGGCACGTCAGTCAGTTTATCAAATCAGGTAAAGTTCCTGTGATTCTCACTGTTCATATATATTGCTAATGCTTCTGGGTTTTATTTCCAGACAAATTTATTGCCATCTTTTAAGTTTTAAATATATGAATTAGTGTTTCCCTCTTAAGGAATATTTTCAAGGAAAAAATATTTCCAGTGAAAACACTTTGTGGTCATCAATTAGGTCATTGAAGATGTTATTTATTTTAGATACTGTGTTTGGTTTCTTTTGTATTTTAAATGAGTTCCAGTTTTCTAGTTTTTGTGTAGTTAGGGCAACAATAAGTGAAAATCAGAAAGTGCAACTGCCAAAGAAATATAAAAAAGTGAAGTTATGTGAAATCAGTTCCATTGAACACAGGAGAGCAAGGTACACAGAATAAATATTGATGTGTTCTTTGGATTGTCCTGTCCCCACGGAGATCAAGCATGATCAGGTTGCTGTGCAAATACTAAACCAAAACACAAAGAATAGCTGATTTCTGTACTTTGCAACTGACAAACAAACAAAGAACATTTTTGGTGTTTTCACTTGGTATTTGACGTTTTTCCTGAAAGCAAACAGACAAATTCTAAAATTGTAAAGATGAGCACTTAGTTCAAGATGGGGATAGTAGTGAGTCAACTTACATGCCACTGTTCAGTGAGCTGCCTTTGTAGCAGAACAAGTCACCTTTTGTTTTTGTAGTTATGCCTAGTTTTTGATTTGAAAATACTTCTTTTTACAAGAAGTGAAAATCCTGCAAAAACTAAGGGTTACAAAAATCACTGCAGTAGATGCATTAGCTGGAATGTAATACTTTTCTAGGGCCTTTACAATTTTAAGCCAAAAGCATGCTCGTGTTTATGTTTCTGTAAAATATGGGCTTATTTTGTTCCTTGCCTGAAGCTCTAAGTCAGCAGTTGCTTTGGCGAAAACCTTTTCCTGTTTTGAGATGGCTCTAAAAGTTTGTGGTTATTAGATTGCAAACTATGTGAACTAAGAAAAGGAACATTGCGTAAGATGAGGCTAATCAGATCTTGCACTGCATGGGGCTGCCTGATTGATTTGTCCTGGGACTTGGGATACAGTATTTTCATCCACTTGTGGGAAAAAAAAGGAAAAAAAACCCCACACACTTTTACGTACAGATTTGATTGCATGATTGGATGTTATGCAGAGTTGATGTTCCTGTACCGTAATGTTACACAGCAACAGATTTTGAGCACTACTGGAGGTAAAAAAAGAATAAACTGTTTGGMTGAATGGCCTTGAATGGCCCTTGTTGGTCTTAAGGATCTTGTCCTGAGAGAGTCATAAGGAAAAGAAATTTGGGAGTAGTAAAGGGTCATCTTTGTGGTGTGACTGTCTCTTGAAAGAGGAACTTCTGGTCATAATTTTTCTCCCTTTCCCTACGTTATGTTTGCAGACCACTTCCAATGGATTGGGTTCGATAGATGACATCGAAACAGGTAAAGACACTTGACCTCTCTGGCTTTTGTCACTTCAGGAAGGTGTCTGACCAGGCTTCGGTGCCTGAGAGGTTCATCATTGTCATGTGGGTGGGTTTGTCATTAACTCGGATGTTTTTTTCCTTACTTCTTACAAATTCCTTACTTCTTACAAATGGTCAGTTACTGAGACACTCATGGAGAGGAAAATGAGGCAAAGCAGATGGCTGCATATTAGCACCTCTGACAGAAAAGCTTTTCATCCAGGCCCAGCGAGGGACACCTTTGGGAATTAAAAGGATCTGCTGAGGTGCACAGCTCCCACCAGTAGTGCCTTCCTAAAGCTGGTCTTGGCAAAGTGAGGTTTTGCTTTAAACTCCCAACCAGAACTGTACAGATCAAGTGAAATTAAGGTTGTGGGCTGCCCTTTGTGCGCTGTGTACATATTGTCCTCCAAGAAGTTGAGATGGAGGAAATTAAAACAAAGGGAGTTGGGAGGCATCCAAGGAGAGCCGTGTGCTCTGTTAGGAAAGTAGGAGGAGCAGAAAGGGGGGATACTTGGTTGCTTTTCTCCTGCCGGAAAACAAGTGACCTTAACTCTGCCCCTCTGGAGAGCTAAATGCTTTGGCCATCGTCACGTGCTGGCACATCTAAGTGGTGCCTTGGAGTCAGTCTCTGCTCCTTTAGAAGACAGCCACAGTGTTAAATACAAAGATTTACCACTGCATTAGCTATTTTCTTTTTATAGAAAGATCCTAATTTTATAATCGGGGTTCTTTTGATGTCAATTTTAGAAAACATGTTAGTTCTGCCTTGAATACCAATTCAGTAATTGAGTGCAAACCCGAGACCCAGTTTGGTGAAACAAGGGGAGTATTTCACATCATCTTGCCTCTCACTGCAGAGTGACGAGTGACTCCTTCCAGCAAGCTCCCTCCTAACTGGGTTTTTGTACAAGAGCAGCGTGCCAGCCCCTGTGTAGTTCAGGCAGAGAGAACCTTTTCTGCTAGGAGATGTGGTCAAAGAAACTGGAAACTGTCTCATGCTTCGTCCCACTGCCCTCAGATTTGGTGTACCTTGAGGAGGGCTGTGAGTGCGGGGTGCCTTGAATACCCCACGTTCAGACATATTTGAGCAAAGTTTGGTTTTCTTGAGATGCAAATTCCTGAAGCTCCTTCACCCATGATTTGCTTGAAGTCRAAATGAGTCACTGAGCCCTGCCCTGCCCAAGTAAATGCTCAAATCTGTCTCAGCGTGGCCTTGGCCAGCCAGTGCAGTGGAGAATTGCTGCCATTTGAGGAAGCAGAGGTAGAAACAAGGTCTTTAAAAGCCCATTCTTGCCTCTCTGGGGTAGGCTGGTAAGTGTTTGGACCAAGTACAAAGTGTGGGCATGGCCCAAGAGGATTTCTGCTAGTTTTGGCAGGAGCTGGGTGATTTGGGGGAAATGGATAGATGAGACCTCCACTRAACTACTACTACTACTGCTAATAATAATAATAATAGTATATGGGGTTTTTATGTCCCAGCTCTGACAGAAAGAGGCAGTGGGGATAGAAGGCAGGTGTGTGCCTGCAACCTGCCCATCCAAGAAGGCTGTTTTGGGTGTTGTTGTTGTTGAGGTCCTTGTTCTGTTTTGTTCGCAGTTGGAACAAACATGAGGTGAGTGCAGCAGGTATGTGGGCTTTTTGGAAAAGAGGGTATCTAGCATGTGGGCATGGTGGCTGCTGAGTGGGATCAGTAGGAGGAGGAATCCAGAGGAAAGCAGGGATGGGAAAGGAGGGGTAGTGGAGGGGGTAGGAATGGAGAYGAAGTGGCTGAAAGGGCAACAAGGATTTGGATGGCCAGAGAGGGGGAACCACTTGACCCTGTTTTCCCCCTCGTTCATTCCAGAATCTGTTCTCTTTTCTCTTTGCCSTTCACATGCACAGGGGAGCCTGGGTGCCTGTGCCTTTCTACCACACACTCAGGGCTTTTAGCCTCTGAGGGTGTGTGAGGGCCTCTCTCTGCTTCCCAGTGTGACTGGGAACTGGAGGGCCTCATTTGTTCCTCAGAGAAGCTCAAACTTCTGGATTCTTGAGGTCGTGTCATTGTGAGCCCGTTCTGCTCCTCCCCTGCACATGTCCCTGGCCCCACTAGCATGTCCCAAACTACTTATTGGCCCCTGGAGGGATCTCCACAGGACTCTATATTTCAACATCTGAAAAAAAGTGGGAAGACACAAACTGTCCCTTTGTGCAGAGGGAAATCTGGCAGAGCTGCCAGTGATGAAGCCAGCACCAGGGGAAGCTAAATGGCTGGTTTCTGAGCCCAGCTGGAACCCACTATAGGGAGGTGGGCTGAGCACAAGTCGTTGCAAGGGGCCGTGGGGCCTAGGCTGAGCCTGAGCTGGGGCACAGCTTGGCCTCTATAACCAAGAAGGTTTCTGGTGCCTTTTGAGCTGCTGCCTGTGATAAATGTGCCCTGCTGCCGTGCTAGAAAACTGGGCTGGATCCCTTAAGGTACAGCATACACTTTCATTTGATGACACTCAGGAGGTTCTGGAGAGGAAATCTTTGTTTTCSCTTTGCCTTTTCCATCTGGTTCCCCACCTTTTGCCACCGTGTGGCCTCTGGTGCCTCTGCCCATCCACACGCCTGGTCAGAGCAGATGCAGGAGGAAAGGTTGAAGGCAGCTGCATGGTGCTCCCAGCGAGGTGAGAGATACRGCGTGTATGTCAGCTCCTGCTGTCGTTTTGTCCCAGGTTTGGGGATTTGCAAGCACTGTGGATTTGCTGAGCTCTCTCTAAGCGTGACATCAGCCTAGTCCCTGATCCGTGAACTTGTGATATATAGGCCAGCAGTGTGGCTCACTTAGACTGGGTTAGGAGAGAATATCCAAGTCTTCATGGTGGCTGAGAAAGCAGAGCTTGTGTAGATAAGGAAACAGTATCTCTTTTTGGATTGAGATTTGTGTGCTCAGAAGTTTGTCTAGTTTCTTTCTCCCCCCCCCTTTTTTAACCAATTTCACAAAAGCTACTGCCTCTCCCTCCAAGTTTTTTTTTTTTACTTATAGCCTTAGAGCATCACAGCTACAGTGCAACTTCTGCATAAATGCAAAAGGTGGCATCTTTTTCTGATTTCTCTTCTTTCATTCCGGGTCATCTGCACAGGGGCAGAATTAAGGTAGCTTGGGTGCTTGGTTTGAGAACCAGAAACATAATGCTGCCTTTCTGGAATTTCTATCATTTTTTTTAACCTTTTTTTTTTTTTTTTTTCTTTTTTTTTTTTTTTTAGAGTAAAATACTTCATAGAAGAGTATGTGCCTATAACCTTAACTTCACTTAGCAGAGATTTATTTTGCATGTTGGGAACATCTCAACTTTTCAACAGTGTTACACAAGAGAGTTAGGGAAGCGTTAGGAAAAAACCCTCCCYCTTTGATCAGACGGTTCAGGAGGGGCTGTTGGCTGACTGAGGTGTCGGGAGCACTGTGGGTCACAGCCTGCTGCTCACGGGCATATGGAGGCCCTCGAGAGCAGGGAATCTACTTGGGTCAGACAGCTCTGCGAGTCTGCTGGGGCTTGTTGGGGACACAGCCCAAGCTGGTCTGAGCCCCTGATCTTTGCCTCTCTTTTCAGCTGCACCTTGTGTTTTATCTTCTGTGAGTTAGGATGGCTAAGAGTTCAGAGAGGGTGCGTGGGTAAGCAAGCTTTCAGTAGGGGTATTGAAACTCCAAGGAGCAAAGGAGGCAGTGGTGGCCACCAGGCGCACCAGTGGGGGACGTTAAAGAAAATGCCAGGTAGTAGGTTACAGAGAAATTGGATTCTGTGCCCCTGCACTTCAGTCCTGGCCACAGCAAATTCAGGAACTGGCTTGTGGTTGTTGTACCTGGTTGCCAGATCATGACAGTGGGTCTTTGCACTGACCCTTAGAGCATGATTTGGCTATTTTTGAGACATAAGAGATTGAGAGCAAAAATCAAAGAGCAAGAACGCTCGAAACCACGTCCCTTCTCTTGGAAAGCTGGACATTTTTGGTGTTCGTGGTTTGATGGAGCTGTTGCAATGCAGTTTCTGCCGAGCCACCCTGCTTGTCCACTGCAAGAGGCTCCTCAGGATGACTCTCTGTCTTTCTCACCCATCACAGACTGCTCTATGGACCTGCAGTGCCTCCCAGCTCCCGTGGCCACCTCCATCCCCGTGAGCGAAGGGTTGGCCCCTTTGCCCACTGACTCCGACGCGAAGGGTCTGCCTACCTCACTCCCGGCTGCCAGCTTGCTCCCTTCTTCAGACTGCGTGTCCCTGCCAGTGCCTGAAAGCGTGGAGGACTTCACAGATGGCGACATCATTGGGGAAGAACTGGACTCACTCCTTGACTCCCTGGCCGAGGGGTCCCAGTACCCTCTAGTAAGAGCAGGCGCTGCATGAGTCTCTTACGTTTTGTTCCAGATGGGCTCCTGGAGCACGAGTGCATGGGTGCTGCTGGCTGCTCTGGTCCTCTTCACTCTTGGCTGTTCCKCTGGCAAAACTTACCCACTCCTTCCTTTATTGCTGCAGTGGGCTTGTATGTATCTAAAGAGGTCCTCCCTCTCCAAGCCAGCTTTGCTGTGTGGCACATAGAGCTACATGGAGGTSCCCTTCAAAAGGTACCTGAGATAACCCTCTCCCGCCATCACCTCCTCCCTGACTCCTGGTGTCTGAGGATTTGAAACAGGTGTGCGGGGAGAAATGAATGTGCTGCCACAGGAAAGCTGATCTCTTCTCCTGGTATTCTGTGTAGGCTGCCTTGAGCGTGAGCTCTTCAAGCAGGTCTGTAGAGATAATCTGTGTTGATACTTACGCTGGATTTTGGTTGCCTSTGTTACTGATGTACTGTCAGCCAGCTTGGGTCTGAAAGCAAAGTAATCGTATCCGTGTGGGAAGCCTCTTGAGCCAACAAGCTCTTCTGAGGCTGCTGCTGCGGCCTCTGTGCTGTGTGTGCTTCAGGTGCCCAGCACAGAGCTCTGCTTGGCAGACTGGCAAACTCAGGTACCCAGACACCTCCTCGGGGGCCTTGGCGCAGGCGATTTGCAGCACAGATAATTCGGAAGATCTGTGGGAAGTTTGTGGGTAGATGTAGCTGTTGGGTATCCTTTTCTCCAGGTAATGCAGCATGCTTTTGAGGGGGAGCCTCTTGCTTCCTCTGTGCTCTCCRCACTCATTTTCTGCTCCTCCTTTTTAACATGTGTTTCTCCTTCCCTTCCATGATTCCCCGAAGTCTCTGGTTCAGAGCACCATTCCTACCAACCTGCCCACGGAGATGCCCCAGCTCATTCCGGTGTTTCCGGGGGGAACGCCACTGCTGCCCCCAGTCGTGACAGCCAGCATCCCCGTCTCGTCCCCGCTGCCACCGGCCTCCTTCGGCCTCGTCGTGGATCCCGCCAAGCAGCTCTCCTCCTCCTCTGTCCTGGATGCCTTTGAGCCCCCGCCGGGGGGAAGTGGAGGCTCCACTCTAGATTCTCTGGATTCCCTGGATCTGCTCCCCTACACAGACTCACGGCTCGATGCCCTGGACTCCTTTGGGACGAGAGGGTCACTGGATGCCTTGGATTCCTTTGCCATTGGTAGGTGTGGGGCTGAGGGAAGATGGAACTGTTATGTCTGTGGAGAAATGTTGAGGTTGTTCTCCTTGGGCACTGAGAAGATTGCCACACACCTTTGCCAGTGCCAAGGGCTGAGAAATGTCTTGGACAGAGCAGCTGAGTCTGTCCAGCTCATTAGTAAGAAGGAGCTCTATGGATATGCAATTGCAGACAACCAGTATGTGCAGGATGTAAACTCCCAGAGCAGAAGGGAACATCAAAAGTATATAATGAGGAGCAATGAGGTCTAATCCTGGATTGATATCCAGGGTACTTCCCTTGGCAGGATTTACTAGACCACTAAGTGTTTTCATACTATCCCCAAATGATTCTGACCAAAGGGGCAAAATCCTGCTGAGGGTTTTATGTGATGTAGGACCTTTCAGAAGAATGGCCTATGTCTGGGAGGTCCCTCCCATCTCTGGTTTCAGAGCAGTAAGTTTCCTGACACAAGAGTTACTGCACTCACAYGTCACAAGGTGCCAAGCTCTACAGGGATGGAGGTTGAGGAGAAGGTTCCTTCCTGTCCCAGGAAGAGGGAGGCAAGTTTCCCAGCTGAGTCATGCCCAACAGTACATGTTGCCAACAAAAATATTTTGAAAGGAGCAGAGATTGGTCAGTCATCTCAAAGTAGGCTCAGATTTGCCTGAGGATTGGACAACCTTAGAGCTGCTGCCTTGGGAATGCTGCCACTGGGCAGTGTGGAATTAGGTTCAGGGAGATTTGGAGGACGCCAGGGTTCTTGAACTCTTTCAAGATTTGGATTGCTTGCGGAAAAATACAAAAAAAAAAGTTAYGACATAAATAAAGCAAATGGATTTCAGTTGTTGGTTGTTTTGTAAGTAGAACAGCTTCTGGAAGTGAAGTGATCGCTTTTATTGTATGGGATTTTCTTTTTTCTCTTCCTTTGCCCAGAAGAAACCAGCYCCCAGGAGCTGCGACACCCACCTGGCAGCCAAAAGCCATCCGCCKTGGTGAGTGAGCCGCTTCCTCACGCTGATGTCCCAAGATGCCCTGGAGCCAAGGTAGTAGTGACTTGGCAGATGTAGGTAACTTGAGCCCCTCTTCCTAACTTGCCCTAGTGAGTGTTGCTTCCTGCCTTGAGGCAAGGCAAGTAAAGACTTCCCCAGGACAGACGCTTGTTCCATCTTTTATCTGCAAGCCCAGCATATTGCCACGTAAACTTGGCTGTAGGACCAACAGGGGGTTGTGTAGGAGCAACAGAGGGTCATGGAGACCAGTGTTCTCTTTAAGATGAGGAGCTGTAAGCCAGCTTCGTGTGGCTGGTGAGATTCTTTGCACCTCTCTACCGCCATCAAAAGGCTTTTCCATACAACGTGTTCTGCCCCTGTCATTTGTCTCCAGTCTGTGTGGAGAGGGCTGTTCCCTGGCTAGCCAATTTCCACSAAGAATTACTCTTCTCGGTTTTCTGTCACTCTGCTATCCCCATTATGTCACTGTAGAACAAGGTCTCTGTTCTTCTCAGTTTTATCTGCTTCATGAAGATATGAAGAACTTGATAAGCGCTTCTTTTTCRCTCAGGTGGGAGTAGGGTTAGATGAGAGTCTTCAAGTGCAGAGCTGGTTGTAACAGAAGGARTGGGAAGGGAGGACCGTTTTGTTCCATGACTGGCAGTGGAAAATTGTTGTACCTTACTGAGAAAGAAAGGGACACTTTGAGCTTAATATCCCATGTTGTTATCCTTGGAAAAATTGCATGCAGCTCTTTCGGAGATGTAACCTCGGGTGTGTAAATCTTGATGAGGATGAAAATGAGGGTAGTTGCTGGGAGACTAGGATGGGATGTGGGATTAGAAAGGAGTTCTTTCTTACCCGTGTGGCTGAAGAGCTTAGGAGAGAGGGGATGTGTTTTTCCTCAGGTCAGCCTAGGTGGAGTGAATCACCCAGCTGTGCCTAAAGTCACTGAGCACCTGCTGTCCCAGCCAGAACCAGTAATGCCTAACACAGCTCTGCTGGTGAAGAATCCCCTGGCATCCACTCACGTCTTCAAACAAGCCTGTCATATCTGCTACCCCAAAACAGGTAATGTATTTGCTGTGCCATCCACAGCATTAGGCCTGGCTTGCCCTTGGCCCAGCTCATGGGGTCCTTCTCTTCTGCAGGGCCCAAGGCTGGTGATTATACCTACCGGGAAGGCTTGGAGCACAAGTGCAAACGGGACATCCTGCTGGGCAGGCTGAAGAACTCTGAAGACAAGACCTGGAAGAGGATCCGTCCTCGCCCCACCAAAACCAACTTTGTGGGATCCTATTACCTGTGCAAAGGTGATCTGGAGGGGATAGGGCTGTCGGTGGTGGGGTAGGGGCTGTAGGGCATGTGCGGGWGAAGGCTGGGAGGGCACTTTCTGTGGGCATCACCTACTCCCTTGGGGGTTTTCCTCATCCATCATTAGCCCATGGGCTGCAGGCCTCATACAGCTGAGCTCCCAAGTCTGTGGAGGAAGAAGGGAGCTTTGAAAGTGGTGGATCATGAAGTGGGATCATAAGGACCTAGTGGGGTGCTGCACACAGCTGAAGGCTCAGAGCTGTTCCGTGGACACGTGCTTTGCTGGCAGCACATATACATGTATACACATGTGTATGTGGGCACTGTATACATGTGTCCACATAAGTCCTGCTCCCTCTAGCAGCATCTCAAGCAGGACTTTGGTTCTGCCCTGGCAGAAACACTCTGGATGCTCCTCTGCTCCAGCCCATCCCTTGGTATTTGCGTGAGATCTGAGCCGTTGTCACCTAGTGAGATGGGGAGACTGCAAGAGCCAAGATAAGAGAGCTTTTACTATCCCTTAGTTTGGATCGACTTCCCCAAGGATCCTAGTGTAGACCTGCTTGGGGATGGGGACGGGTTTAAACCAAACCAAGACACTGCGCTCTGGTTTCTTGCTTTCAGCCTCTGGTGAGGCACGGGCAGTGGGAGGGGACGAGAGAGAGCGTAGTTTCTGACTGGGCCGCCCTCCCTGTGTGGTGGTGTGTGCTGTCTGTTGCTTTGTAGATATGCTTAACAAGCAGGACTGTAAGTACGGGGATAACTGCACCTTCGCGTACCACCAGGAGGAGATCGACGTGTGGACGGAGGAGAGGAAGGGGACCCTCAACCGTGACCTCCTCTTTGACCCGCTAGGTGGGATCAAGCAGAGCAGTCTCACCATTGCCAAGCTCCTGAAGGAACATCAGGGCATCTTCACCTTCCTCTGTGAGGTACAGAGCTAGYGGGAGGGAGAAGGCACCTGCCCTACACCGTGTCTTCAGAGGGCGTCTGGGCTCTTGATGCAGTTGCAGCCAGTGCCCTGCTCCCAGAAGGGCAATGAGCGATGCATGTAGTAGTGGAAGAGGAAGGAGATATATTTTCCCTCCTTACCCTTGCAGCTAAATGGGGTGCACACACCACATGGAGTTTCTTCTGTCTTGAGATATTGCTTTGAAGTSTAATTTTTTTAAAAAAATCAAAACTCCAGAAGGCAACAGCTTCCCACCCGGTGTACATTCCTGTYGCCCTGGTGTTAACCACTGCAGAGCCACTGGCTGATTTGATGAAGGATCCTCTCTTTCTCTCTTAGTACTCTGCAGCAGTGGTCAAACCAAGGGGATCCTTTAAGGATCAAACCAAGGAGCCTTTAGCTCTGGATCCTGCAGGAGGCTGGCAGTGTGAGATGTAAAGGAACGTGTTGTCTTGCAGTAGAGTCACTTCTTTTTTTTATTCATTTCTCCCCATCCTTTCCCTTGTTCTTGCTCTGATGGCCAACTGGGAAAGAGTATGTGGATCTGACCAATGTTTTTCCAACCGCAGTGGAAAATATTGTTGAGAATAAGCCAAAAATGTTGTCCTGAAACGTTTCCAAAAATACACTTACTATATTTTAAAGCCCTGCCACTAAGTTTTCACCAGGCTTGTTCTAGCTTTGAACATCAGAGTAGGCTGGCTCTTCTTCCCATCTCAAGCCAAAATGGCTCGGGTTCACTTCTCTCTAAGATTTTCCCAGCATGCTAATTWTTCCCTTCTCAGATTTGCTTTGACAGCAAACCTCGGATTATCAGCAAAGGGACCAAGGACACGCCGTCTGTCTGCTCCAACCTTTCTGCCAAACACAGTTTCCATGACAACAAGTGAGTGAACATTGCTTGTGTGGATGGGAGGAATCTCTCACGTGCCCAGGCCGTTCCACCCTGGTTTCCTTCTTCCTTTCCCCGCCCTGGGTTCCCATCACAGGGCAGTTCAAAGCAGGATAAATAGCGTGGTGTGCCTCGCTCTGCATGTTTGCTCCTCGTGCCAAGGGATTTGAGGCATGAGCCAAGCCCTTTGGGGTCAGGCTAAGTTTTGCATTGACTTAATTTGGCTTTGAGTTTGGCCTTTACATAAGGGTCAAACCAAAGATCCCTTAGCTCTGGATCCTGCTTCTGACTGCCTAGTAATGAATGTTTAGAAAAAGGAGTATAAGAAACATGTCAAGTAGGCAGTAATATAACCCGTTCTGGCCTCCTGGCAGCTTGAGACTTGGGGACTTCTTGAGGCAAATGAGTTGATGTCTTGGCTGCRTGTTTAGAAATGTGTCTTTATCTCTTAAACTCAAGCAGGACATGAACCATAGCTGCCTACAGTTGCTACAGAGGGACAGGAAGGAGTTTGATTTCCCGGGGGGAATTCACCTCTGCCAGCACTGATGTTTCTGTATCYGTTGCCTGCCCAGTTGAATATATGGAGGTCACTTGTAAGGAGGAAAGGGTGAAGATTCAGTCCACTGATGCTTCCTATCTCCTTGGCTCGGCTGCAGGTGTCTAGTCCACATTGTACGTTCCACCTCCCTGAAGTACTCCAAGATCCGCCAGTTCCAGGAGCACTTCCAGTTCGATGTGTGCCGGCACGAGGTGCGTTACGGCTGCCTGCGGGAGGACAGTTGCCACTTTGCTCATAGCTTCATCGAGCTCAAGGTCTGGCTGCTGCAGCAGTATTCAGGTGAGTGTGGCTCTGGATGCAGGGCTGATGGGGTGGATACCCAGATTTTTTTTCCAGAACATGCATGGACTAGTTGGGAGAGAAACAAGGTGATTTGGGAGCCAGAGGAGCTGTTGCTCACATTTAGGTGTACTTCATTCATCTCCTCTGAGATGCAGAGACAGGGCTGGGGTGTTCAGTGAGGTAGCTTGTTCTTTGTCCCTCTACTGGTGCTACTGCAAATTGCAAACTGGGAAGCCCTTCCCTTGGGATTACACTCATAAGTTGAAATGATTTTTAGGTAGGGCTGAATGACTGTAGATGTTTTGGTGTTTAAGTCCCGTGGAAGGTCCTAAATAGCAGTTGTGCCCCTGGATGAAAGTCCAGCCCAGTGAGAATCAGAGCACACATAGGTGACAAAGCAGTTATAAAAAGAAAACTGTGCCTCTCCAATTACTCTGAGCACGTTCACCAAGAGTAGAAAATGACAAGATACTTGGCCTTTCCCCAAAAGCATTTGACAAACTGCCTCTGAAGAGGCTGTTACAGAAACGATATTCAGGCCACACAGTGACACTGCTGTATCCAGTAATTTCAGTTCTCTTTCTCTGACACACTCGAGCATTTTTCTTGCTGCTGACAGAGCAGATGCTTTTGTTGGTCCACTCACAATGCTACCCAGATCTCTCTTTTTTTCCCCACTCTGAGGTCTTCTTTAGCGCAGGACCCAGCACGATCACTGGAGTACTCCAGAGAGAAAAGGGGTTGGGAATGCTTCTCACCATTCCTTGCTTTCATGTGGGCAGCTTCAATCAGTGCTGTTCAAGTACCTGCCACTGCAGTTCAGTGCAGTCCTCTGCCTTGGCTTGGCTTGTGAGTGCCAGTGATGCACAAGTCAGACGTTGTGGCACATGCCATCTTCTACGCTTCCTGTTTGGCCTCACTCGCCTGYGGCCACAGGGAATTAAGAAGTTACACTGGTTTCTTAGGCAGCCTGTTGCCAGAGAGGCATAGGCCAGGGCTGCTTCCCTGAGAACTTGTGAGATGGCCTGTAGTGCTTGGGGCRCCTTGCTCTCTTCCTCTCCTCGTGTGCACAGAAAAGGAGGTTTCTTCTCTCCCTCCCTCCTTCTCTCCTCTTCTTCAGCCTGTAGGAGAAATAGATTAGATGTTTTGTGCTTGCTTTCTTTCTTTGAATGTGACTTCCAAAGGGGAAGTAAACTCGCAACCTGCTTCAGCTTCCAGCTAAACTGGTGGGCTGCTGTGTTTGACAGCCACTTGGGCTTTTACAAGGTACATTGCGGTGTTCCTAGTGATAAAGGAATGTAGTAGCAGAGAAAAGGTTCTCAGATCTGGACATGTTGGAGGACAGGACTGTTTCCTGGTTCACTGCATCTATGCACAGACATACTGTGCTGTCTTCTTCTAGCAATGGGAATCCCAGTCTCTTTGTCCTCATTGATGATCTTGCAAAAGATGCTAGAACATGACAAGTAGTCAACACATGGGTTTTGTGTTTCTCAGAGCGTCTGTTAGGGATAGTTCATGCTTCATGAGCTGGTGTATTGGAAAACAACCTTTCAACTTGGGAGGTTTTTGTTTTGTTTTGTTTCCAACCATGACATTTCTGGACCTTGATGAGTTAGTTTGGATTTCTGGGAGCTTTAGAAAGCGGTCTGAGGACATAATTTGAAATTCACTCCTTTGCAAGTTCTGCTSTTGGATCCAGGATCAAGGCACATGTGTGCCAAACCGAAAAGACAGAGGTTACTTTGGTCCTTTCCCTTTGAGATCTCATGCCATGTTTTGATTCTCTACATGGTTTCCCAGGCTCACAGTTTTTCTCCCCTAAGTACGACCAGGGCTGTCCATGCACAGTCCCTCACCGCCTGCAGTGTACAGGCCCCCACATCAGGGACTGTGTCTGTGTCCCATGCCTTAGGCCCTAGTAAAAGCTGTTAGCAAATGCAAAACAAGGGGCCTCGCAGCCCTCTGTGCCAGGGGAGCTGCATTAAGGCAGCCCTCAGCACCCCTGTTGTTGCCATCAGCTGACAGTCATAGGATACTTTACAATTTCTTGTGGCTGCCGTGTCAGATCTTTATAGCACCCAGATAAGAGGGCCTTTCTCTGTCGGAGCCAGACCACGTCATGAGCGGCCAGAGTTTCTGTTACTCTGCTAACTTTCTCCTGTTTACTGCTCTGAGAATCCCAGTGCCCCTCCAGCTGRATTTCTGCTAGCAGAGGTTATTCCCTCAGCATGTGGTTTAATCAAGAGCTAATTCTTCAGATTATCTCTGGCAGTTTCCTTTCTGATTCAGGASACCTTGTAGATCTTTCCCTGCAGGTTACATGCAAGCAGCTGTTTCTTGGTTGGTTTTGCACCTTTTGTCTTTCCTTGCTAGCTTGGGGCACTTTGTGTTTGCCCTGATTGAATTTCAGATTTTCTCTTTGCTTGTTGATGGGTGACCCCCAAACACACAACTAAAAGTAGGTAACAGGGTAATTAATCCCAGGAGGAAATGAATGAGACTTCTGGGATCCTGGAGAAGCTGGATATCTCAAACAGTGGGATATCTGTAATCTCTCGGRCCAGTGACCAAAAACTCTGATACACAGTAGATCAAAAGTAACAAACCTTTGTCTTTAGGGCCATGTGGGAGATTTCTTGATTTGGATTTGGGGGAGAGCCTTGRTTAAGGTGCTAGTCAAGAGTTCAGCAGCGTCTGTGTCCTTTGTGTGCAGCCTGAGCAGGACACCAGATCTAAGGGTGGCTTTGCTCTGCCCCTCTTGCCTGACTCCAGTGAAAAACAGGAGGGCTGGAGTTAGGAGACCCCCCACCCTGTGCTTGAGCACATTCTGTGGTGGGGCAGGTCCCCTGACAACCCATGTGTGTGTTACGCTTGTGGGACTGGGAGTACTGGTCAGCCACCCAAGGGCTCCAAGCCCCGGTGCCAGGATCTCTGCAGCCCTTTCCTCCCCTCCTGCATTGACCGAAGCAGGGGAGCTCAGTCCTGTCTCTGCCTTGGTTCCAGGAATGACCCATGAAGATATCGTGCAGGAATCTAAGAAGTATTGGCAGCAGATGGAGGCACATGCTAGCAAACCAGCCAACAGCATGGTAAGAGGCACCCAGGATTTGCAGCCAATATTTTCTCCCTGCTATTCCAGCACTTTCCTATCCCTTTTCTCCTTGTTGTTGTATCTAGCCAGACTTAGGCAGACCAGGCTGGACATTGAGGAGGATGGCTGAGAGCTTTCCTGTTTCCTGTGCTAGTGATGAGCTTTGTGCCTTGTTTAGAAGTGTTTGATCTTCTCTGTTCAGGGGTGGAATCAAGCTGCCGGGGTTGGGAGGGCAAGGCACAGGGAATGGTGCTTCCTGCCAAAGCCTCGTAGTGAAATCAGGAGACTTTGGGGACCATGGTCACAGCGTGGAGATCAAAGAAGTCCCGTTGTCCTTTAGTGGCCAAGGGATGATACAGCAGTTGAATGACTCATGACATACAGGGATAATCTGAACGCAGGAGTGGGTGGAACTTGCGGCTCAGGAGGCACCTGRGGCTGATGGAGGATCTTAGCAGTCCTTTGCCAGGAGAAGGCCGAGAGCTTTGCCTGCTCTGTGCCACCCCTCTCAGCACAGGAGAATGTGCCCATGGCTGCACCCTCTAGGCCTCTGAAGAGCTTGCCCTGGAGACATGAGCAAAGGACATCTCTGTCTTCTCCCACCCCATTCACTGTGGGTGATGCTGTTTTACCATCTTTTTTCAATGGAGCAGGTAGTGTAGGAGCAGAACCCAGCACAGATGATGCCCAGCCCTGTGTTAAACTTTCACCCCTTTGCCCTTAGAACAAATTTTCTGTTCTTTACCTGTCTTCAAAAGACATAAGCAGTGAGTTGAGAGTCTCCAGGCCTCTCAGCAAGCTCTGAGGTGCGGGAGAAGTCCTGTGCCCTCCACAGTAGCAGAAACGTGTTGTGTGTTCCCCTTGGTTTGGGATCTCTCATCCAAGGGCTTCCTTTGCAGAGGTGGCCATCGGGTGCATCTCTTGAGCACCCGTGTAGGGGTGTTTTGCAGGATATAGAGGTGTTCTGCCACATGACGTGTGGCAGCTTTCCCTGGACTGCCARCATGCCAACAGACTAATCCTGAGAGATGCAGAGCGCCGAGGCTGGGCAGAGCAGGTGCAGTCAKCAGGCTTAGCCCAACGAGGAGGACTTGGGCGACCTGCACTGATGTTCCCCATAGGCTCTTTTCCCGTCTGCTGGTTGTGCTGCCTGAGATGGAGCCAACCTTGAAGAAATCCTCAGTGAGATATGCCCACATCCCATTACTTCTCCTGTGATATGAATTGGCCTGGGGAGAAGACGTTGGCTGGGGAGTGGGAAGCAGGAGCTGTCCAGAGCAAACAAATTCTAGTCCCCCAAACTGCCTGCCTTCCTAAATAATTTGCTGTAGCCTCTCAGGAAGCTGTAGGATTGATTCTGAAGTTACGGGTCAAGTTTCCACTGCCCATGTTAAATGACAGGTGATCTCAGATGATCTGAATGGTCCCTTCAGGTAGAGCTGGCTAGGATAGCTTCCTAGCATGGCACAGGGACAGAGGCAACTGTGTTTCCCCAGTGGATAAAATTTTAGTGTTGATCTGTCACAGGTAGGGACAGTAGTTGGATTTATATCAGCCAGCACTTCCCCATAAACAGCAGAGTCTAGAGACTGTCCTGCCTGCCGTGGATCTGGCTGCCTTTTCCAGAGAGCTCTGTCTTATCATTCCCTGTGTATAGTGTGGGGGCAGAAAAGATAGGTGGACAGCTGGTTTCCTTGGAGCCTTCCAGGTTCCAATTCACCTTTGTTTGGTGGAAGAACAAGCTATTCCTTATGGTAAGCCATTTCTTTGGAAATGGAAAGTTTCTTTCCATTTCATTGGGGAAGCAAACTGCTATTCAGGTTTTTAAACGCGTTCACATTTGTGTGTGTGTTTGCTAACAATACATATAAAGCAATATCTGGAATATTTTTGTATTTTAACTGGAGTCTTGATGGAAAAAAGTACCTCGGACAGCAGGCCTTCAAGCACATGCCCTGGAGCAGGTGAGGCCTGGGCGGGTTAGCACGGGAGGAATGAGGGCTTCATTTCTGACTGCTGGGGCTTGCAGGGGGTGGCGGATCAGGAAGAGAGATGTCGGTGCCTGCTGCTTCTGCCCAAGAGGAGTGGGCAGAGGGACCGAGTTTAGGGACCATTTGGGCGCCGCTCGGGGTTCGGGCAGCACTCGGGGTTCGGGCAGCACTCGGGGTTCCTGGCCTGCGGCCGCATCCCAGGCTCTGCCAGCGGGCTGGGCTCCCACGGGAGCCCCTGGCTCGTGGCCCCGGCCCTGCGGGCAGGACTGGCAGCATCTGCCCAGAGGAGTTTGCTTTTGCCATTATGTCCTGCCATCCAGGCGGGCTCGTGTGACTCAGAGTTTTCTCAGCATCCCTCCAGCTTTTGCAGCCGGCTGCCTGGCACAGGCAGCTTCCCGGGAGGGCTGTAAACGCAGCCCCCACCTTCCCGCTGGTCCCCGCGATCTGCGCTTGACTTGGCACCTTCTCGTCAGCAAGAAGCAAAGTTGTCCCCAGGGATTTTGCCGATAGGGAGCGGGTAGGGGCTCGCAGGAGGGAAAAGAGGCAGCTAGTGTACGGGCATGGTGTGCAGCAGCCGTGATGTGCAGGTCAGGAGACCTGCCAAGGAAAGGGAGATGAAGACACTCTGCTTGCTAAGCACCTGCCACAAATCTCACATCAGGTCCCACGTGCTTGCGGGGCTCCCAGCGAAGTGCTGCAATGCAGGAGCAAACCCGGTAGCGGTGCAGGGAAGAGGCAGGTGTCAGGAGATGACTATAGGTATGTAGGTGCCCTCAACCCCACCACATCCTGGGAATCAAGGGCTTTCATCCCTCAGCTGACTTCCAAGAGCTGCTGGGGGCTGTTCTGCTCTGCCTTCCTAGGCAGCTGCAGAGGCAGCAACTCAAGCATAGGGAGGAAAGAAACCCCCCTCTCTCTAGTAAGGGGTGCCTGCCCCTTGGTGCAGTTCACTCACTTAGGTGGCCTAGTAGCACAGGCTCCTCAAGGAGCCCCCCAAGGACTCGCGGCTCCTCCAGGAAGCTTTTTGGAATATCTGAGAAGGGTTCTTGGAGACAGGAGCTGCGAGTGGCTGTGCTGGGGCTGTTGCTTTCAGCAACACGTCAAGTGGAGAACTGCCATGCCAMAGATGTGTGTTTATGTGGTTGCCTTGGTGCAGAGCTGGCACTGTATTTTCTGGCTTCCTAGCAAGGGGTGGTGCCACAGCCCGAGGCTCTCGGCCCGGCCTCGCCTGCCGGAGCCTCACGTGCCCCCTGCTCTGCACGCTGCTGCTTATCAGCAGCCTGATGTGTCGTGCTTGTGCAGAGCCACCCAGCAGCGACGGCAGCAGCTTTGGTTTTCCCTTTCCTCCTGCTTCCCTGGATGCTCGTGTGCGCTGAGGTGAGCAGCCGTTTGTGTGACTCTCAGCAAGATCTGCAGGGGCTATTTTTGACGGAATTTATAAAACAAAGCAAAACAGTCTGACTCACCAGCATTACCCGAGAAACACTTTCTTGATCTCTGATCTGTATTGCCTTCTGGAGCCCACTGAGTTGTAGAATAACTTTCTGTGCAGACTAAGTGGAGACAGGAACTTAAGGAAAAAAATTCTTTCCTGTGAGGGTGCCAGAGCCCTGGCACAGGCTGCCCAGGGAGGCTGTGGAATCTCCTTCTCTGGAGATCTTCCAAACCCGCCTGGTTGCCGCCCTGTGCCCCGTGCTCCGGGTGTCCCTGCTGGAGCAGGGGGTTGGACTAGGTGATCTCTAGAGGKCCCTKCCAACCTTAGGGATTCTGTGATTAAAACCACTTTTCGAAGGCCACATGTTTGAAAGTGTGGATATTCTTCTGGTGAGGCTCGCTGCCGTCTGCAGTATCCCTGGCCTCAACCTGCAGTTCTGCCTGCTGCTTTGATGCATATATTTTTAAATGGTCACCAGCGTTGGTGAAGGGTGACAGATGGACTGGATCACRTATTTGCCAGCAGAAGGGCAGTCTTGCAGGTGAGCAGAAGAGAACTGCTGGTGCTTTTTAAGGCTGATGATGGTGGTCTAGAAATGTCTTCTTGCTGGGACAGGTGGAGCAGTGTCCTTCACACAGATGAGCTGGTTTTTCACCCTGGTGGAGGATCCTCGGTAGGTGAGATCCRCTTTTCCCAAGGCTGGCCCTGGCGGATGCGGCGTGGAAGCCGACGGCTCGTGCGGCCTCTCCCGGGAGGTGACTGGATTGTGCAGCATCCCGCTCCGCTGCTCTCCCTGTGCCGGAGGACGTAGGCAGGGCTGGGGCCGCCGCTGCTCAGCGCGTGGCCGAAGCCGCCTCCTCGGGGCCGTGGTCTGCCTGCCTGCTCCTCCTCAGCTGCGCAGGGAGAGAAGCCAGGGCACGGCAGCTCGTCCGGTGACGGGCCTGGAGCTGTGTTCCTGTACGTAGCCTCTGCCTTGCAGTCTGCTCAGAAGCCAGGGTGTTCTTCTAGGCTGTGGTTTCTTTTTTACATCCTTCCATATTCCTGCGCCTGGGGCCAGTGGCTTCCAGTCACTCCTGCTCTTCAGTTTGGAAATGATCTGGACTTAGCAGCCTTACAGCAGTTTTAGACTCTCGTGYTTTTTGGTAGTGGTGCAAAATGTAAACGGCTCTCCGGGGATTTGGCCAGAAAATGCAAGGCAGTGGTGATAGAGGATCCACTCCTTTTTCCTCAGTCTGTTGCAGTTAATCCCAGTGCAGCCTTTTCACAGGGAGAAGGCCAGTGAAGTGGCCAGGGGAGCGTGGGGTGTGTGAATTACCGGCTGCACATTTGTCCAGGGATCGTGGCTTAGCCTTGMGGGTGTAACACAGTGCAGGGCAACGGTGGGGACGGGCACCTGCCCAGAGAGGGCTCTGAGGACCCAGCTCAGACTCAAATATGTCGGTGTCAGCTTCTGGATGCACCAGGAGCCTCTTGCTTCACARGCAGGAGAGGTAAGTCCTGTGCTGTGGCGTGGCCTGGCTTCCTGCACCCCTTGGGATCTACACGCAGGCGGAGGGGAACGTGGATGGCTCTCCCTGCGGAGCAGCGGGGAGGCACTGGAGCGGGTCGCACAGGGCTTGTCTGCACGTGGGGATCCGCTGCAGGGGGTTTACAGCCAGGCCTGGAAGCTGCCAGTGTCGGAAGCTGCACCACTGGCCAAGCGTCAGAACCCGGGAAACGCTGCCAAACCAAGGAGTGGGATGTGGTGGGAGCTGCTCTCRGGGGCTCTGTCCGCTGAGGGGCTGCGTGGGGGGTTTCTCTTTCACAGGCCTCCACCCGGGCGCCCACGTCGAGCACCTTCGACCTGCAGATGAAATTTGTGTGTGGCCAGTGCTGGAGGAACGGGCAGCTGGTGGAGCCAGATAAAGACCTCAAGTACTGTAGTGCCAAAGCCCGCCACTGGTGAGCGATGCAGCCCTCTCTTGCCTCCACCCTCCGCAAGGTCCGCGCTTTCTCCCCATATGTTCTCCAAGGTTTCATTTGGCCTTCTTGGAAGAGCCTGGGAGGCTTCCTAGCAGCCCCTCTGTGCCCAGGGGGATATTTGTCGCCAGCTTCGTGCGTGGTACATTACAGCTACACTGTTACTCCTAGCACTTTCCATCTAACTCCCACCGTTCCCTTTTATTTTTCCAGCTCTATCATTTCTTCTCAGCAAGCTCACTCAGATGGGTCTCCTCTGCTCTTGTTTATACACCTTGCTGTTTGAAGATGCCTGTCATGTTGCTATTAGCCATGATTCAAGGCATTCTGCTTCCTTTTATATTAGTTTCCTAAGGGTACAGGACTGAGGCTGTCCAGAGTCTTACTGCAAATGTAAGACCTGTAATCCAAAAGAGAGAAGCAGCAGTTGCTGGAGGAAGTGAATGGAGGAGGATCACTTCCTGGAAAGGGAAAATAACACCTCTTTGTGCAGCAGCTGAATAGAGCTGGGGGTTTTGGCCAGAGTGTCTCCTTTTGATCCCTTGCTAGTGCTGCAGGAGAATTAGCGCTTGCTGGCACCTGTTCCTAAGACAGTGCTTGTCGTAGCTTGCACCTTTYGGCAGCAAATATTCCCAAATGCTTTTTGTGGACTGGATTACACAAGAACTGGCAGTGCTGGAGAGTGGAGTGCAGTTGTGTAGTACCCCACAGCAATGTCACGCAACAGTTGGAGGAATCTTTCTGTGACTTTATGGGAAGAGATATTTCAGGAAATACACAATAGACAGTGGCAGAAATCCTCCTAAAACACCCTTGTACTGGCCTCTCTGTCATACATGTGAGTGTTTAGGAGCAGCCCAAGAGTGATGTGGACAAACTGGGCTGGAAAATTGGGTCATCTTAATATTCAGGGGTCCTTGATGAAAACAAGGATCCTTGTTGTACCCTTACTTTCCCTTGATTTGTTCTCTCTCCTTCAGTTGGACAAAGGAACGTCGTGTCCTGCTGGTGATGTCCAAAGCAAAGAAGAAGTGGGTGTCTGTGCGACCACTGCCTTCCATCCGCAACTTCCCACAGCAATACGATGTAAGAGCCTCCTCCTGCGCCTCCGGGTGCCTCCTTCCTTGCCCTCCCAGCCTGGCACAGCACTTTGAGGGCAGGTTTCTTGCAGATCTGCTGGAGAAGCAGGCAGGCTTTGGCYGAGGTGGGCAGCAAAAGCAAAGTGAAGGGAGCAAGGTTGCAACCACATCCAGCGACAGGGGTGGAGCACAGAAAGGAGCAGCACTCGTTTAAACCGCTCCGTRCTCGTRCACGAGTTCCTGATGCTGCTGAGAMTGCAGCCAGCATCTCAGGAGCTCGTTGGCACAGGGTTTGGGAAYGAGATTTAAGTTTCCCCTCAGGTCAGGGTTTCTCAATGTGGGTGAGAGGCAAGACAGGGCGCTTGAGAGAAGCTGATCCCTGCCTTTGCTGTTCTGCTGTTAGTTGCAAAATCTTGGAGCGTATTTTGAAAGCAAGATTGGGAGCTCATCAAAAACGCCACATGCTGTGAGGAAAACTACAGATATCCAACCCCAGCAGAGAAAGTGGCAATTGGTAATTTATGTCACCCTCTCCTTTCTCCCTGAAAGGAGAAAGCTGCTCTCCCTCCTACGAGGTAAGATCTGCTCTCCTACCACGTAAGATCTGCCGTTGTCGCCTGATCCACGTGCAGGCACAAGGCCGCGTACGAAGCCTTGAGCGCTCTGCAGTTGCGGGCCTTGGTGGGAGCTCCGAGGTGAGGAGAGCAGATCTGAGCAGGAGACAGGAGTTACTAATCACTGCTGAAGCAGGAGATAAGGCCGGCAGGTGAGTCACGGGTCCCGAGCCAAGGCAGGTTGCTGGAGCTGCCACCCAGCCCCGGGCAGAGAGGAGCAGTGTTGTCTGTGGCCAGCTGGTGTCTGCCCTGCTGGCCTGCCCGGTGAGAGAAGTGGAGGGCAGGGGATGACAGCTAAAAAGGATGCTTGGAAAGCTGCTTGTTTTCCCTAGCAGTGAAGCTCTTGGGAGCTGTCATTTATTTCTTCATTTTTGTCTTTCGGCAGTTGTGTATCCATGCACAAAATGGCAGGAAATGCCAGTATGTGGGCAACTGCTCCTTTGCCCACAGCCCTGAAGAGAGAGACATGTGGACCTTCATGAAGGAGAATAAAAGTGAGTGGGGRAAACGTGTCAAGGGGGTTGGGGAGAAGGGAATATTTGGGCAGTGGATGCAGGTCTGTTGGGGCAYGCTGTCGACAGCAGAGCTGGACAGAGCTCCTGGCGCCCCAGGTTTAGGTAGCTCTGCAGTGGCCTAGAGCTGCTGCTCTCTCAGACGTGCTCCTGTGTATGTTCAGTCCCACAGCCTGGTCTGGTGCACGTGAGCTCCATGCCTCGCACTGCGCTATTGCTGCCTCCCCACTCTGCAGTTCTGCAGATCCACCCTGTGCCATCCCTCCTGTTGCATGTCCCAGGCCTGGCTGCATCTGGAGCTCCGCCAAAGCACTRGTCCTGACCTGTTGCTGCTCCTGTATCTTTCTTATCTGGCTTGTATCTGTCTTGGCTTTCTTGCCCAATTTTGCTCAAAGCCCTTGTGTCTGGGCTGCAGTGCTCCCTGCTCAAGGCATTATACAAAGTGGGGTGGATCTGAGATCCTGAGTCAGAACATGGCTGGGTGGTGCCTTTGTGAAGAAGCCTCTTTGAAATTGATCACACGGGATATCAGCTTACCTATTTGGGGAAAGCTGGGGGGGCCTCGGGTCCCATATTCCCACTCCTCACACGGCAGGGCCTCRAGCTGTTGCCCTGGCAGAACCCTGGAGTTGCTTCAGTTCCTCCAACATCAGCTGGCCACGTGGAGCTCTGTGTCTCTGCAGGCCCTGCAGAAGGTACCACACGAGCTGCCTCGTTTTCCTTGCACACCCTGTGCAGGCAGTGATGGGGCTGGTGGAGGAACCAGCTCTCTGGCCACCACCCTYATTTATTTAGGCCTACAGCAAGCTGGGGAGAAAACATTTTTGGCCAGTACCCAGTTGTCCTGGTGATCATCTCATCTCCGTCGGGAGATCCTGAAGGCCCAGAGTATCTGAGGCCTGCACCGAGGTTGTCTGTGCTCAGGTRGAGGATACCCTTCCACGTGCTCCTGTTTGGGGCATTGCAAGCCCTGCTGCTGCTGGAGCCATTCGAGCACATCAGACCAGTCTGGGCGCGCTACTGAAGGAGAAGGGTGAATCTTCAAATGTCAGCGTTGCCGTTTGGGGGGAATTTGCATTAATTATGTTCCATTGCCTTGAGTTCCTCAGCTGCCCATTTAGTGAGGAGTAAATCACTAACGCGTTGCACGCAGGCTGTCGCACTGCCGTCTGCAGCCACTCTGTCCCTAGCCTTTCTCACAAGCTGACCTTGGAAAAACAAGCATGTAGTCAAAGCTTCCAGCCAAAACTTCCCTTTCCAATAGCATTCAGAGCGGATTTTAAACCCCAAGCACCAAGAGATGTTGACTGCACTCTTCTGGGCAGGCTGTGAACTAGGACAGCCTAACATTAGGTCCTTCTCCCCTCCTTAACACTTCCTATGGCGAGCTTGGTTGTGAGTTCTCCTTGCTCTTGCGTGCTGTGGATGAACCATAGGCACGGAGGGAAGGGACAGATGCAGATCCATCCCACTGCCTTTGCTGCGGCTAGAGTGGGATGTCCACTGAGGTCCAGTGGAGCCAGGGTTGACTGAGAATCACCTTGTGGGCTGAAGTCCATGCAGATTTTGAAGCATGTTCCCTCCTTCTTGAATACTTGTGTGAGCTACTTTACTGTTGCCCCTCAAGTCGCATCTGATGGCTCCCCTGGCCAGGCTGGGTGACTTTGGCTCCTCTCTCCACAGCCCTCACCTGAGGAGGTGACACGGGGCTTCCTGAGGCCAGACCTTGGCCCTGACTGCAGGGGAGGGGAGGGAAGGGCTGCCCCAGCGTGTGTCCTTTGCCCTTAGTTTGTGCTCAGCGCGGGAGGTTGTCTGGGTCACTTCACGGGTTGCCTCTGTGCAGTACTAGATATGCAGCAGACCTACGAGATGTGGCTGAAGAAGCACAATCCTGGGAAGCCTGGAGAGGGGACACCGCTCACGGCTCGAGAAGGGGAGAAACAAATCCAGATGCCCACCGACTATGCTGACATCATGGTAAGAGCTCATGTCTTGTCCTTCCTCCCTCTCCTTCAGTGCTGCCAGCCTGCAGCTCCCTTGTGCTGCCGCCTGGGACTGAGATCCTCTCCTGGGAAAGAGCTTGTGCTAATGTAGGTTAAACTGACAGCTGGGAGCAGCACAGGATCAGGTGGGAAGGGATTGACCCACTCAGCAAGGCTCTGCTGAGGCTTTTCTTAATCCTGCAGTCGTAGTTGCACCCGACATTGCYATTTGCATGGGCCCAGCCTCTTCCCAGGCTTCCCGCTCACTCTTGGGAAAGCTGCACAACAGTCTGTTGGAAAAGAGAGGGAGGCTTGGAGGAAGGGCATGGAGGGCTGGGAATGTGGGTGCAGGTGTCTGCTGAGCCCGCTAGTGGCCGGTGTAAGGATTCTGTGTTACCACACAGGGGCCTTGTAGCTGTCCCCTAGGGACCGTGTCACTTTATTGAGCTGTCCTGTCCTCTGCAGCTTAACTTGAGCTGTAGGTGGGCCTAAACAGAGCACCTCGTGTGCTCTCCGTAGCAGCAGCACGATGGCCCTCRGGACCTCACTGCATCTGAGGCTGTAGGTTGAGTGGAGCATCCAAGGTGCCCTGGGAGGAAGGAAGGACAGGGAATGCCAACATGGGGAGGCTGATGGGCATGGATATTAAGTCACTGACCGGTGCTTTGGCATGTCTGCACCAATTAGATGGGCTACCATTGCTGGCTCTGCGGGAAGAACAGCAACAGCAAGAAGCAGTGGCAGCAGCACATCCAGTCGGAGAAGCACAAGGAGAAGGTCTTCACCTCGGACAGTGACTCCAGCTGCTGGAGCTACCGCTTCCCCATGGGCGAGTTCCGGCTCTGCGAAAGGTACCACAGGAGCTGCCTCGTTTTCCTTGCRTGCTCCTGCTGCCGGGAAGGGGGCAGGCCCAGAGCCTCTGTCATTCCTCCTCCTCCTCCTCTTCCTCCCTCTCCTGTGCCTTTTCTTCTTGCCTCTGTCGTGGAGTCCTTAGGGACTCCAGCTTGGAGCAGCGGTGGCACAAGCTGCCGGTTTGGGGTGGCAGTGAGGCTGTGGGGTTGGATCCCGGAGATTCTCTGCCACACTGCTCAACCCTTTGAGGAAAAAAAAGAAACACATCTCTGAGCATGTGTGTTTAGAAGATGAGAGAGAACTTCTCGTCTGCACCTGGGCCCTCTGTAGCCAGGATTGCTCTCATCTCGCTGTCTAAACAGTGTCTCTTTGCCCCAGATCTTGGGGGAATCCCAGGTGCTTTATTAAATGGTTCAGACATCGCACGCCCTCTGAATCAGTGCCTTGAGGTGGCTTCAGATGGCTAGAAATGCCACTTTGCTTCGAGTCCCTCATGGCTGTTTAGGGTTGCCCCTGAAGAGCATTTCCTCTCCTCTGTACATGTTTCCTCTCATGCCTGCTGGTCCAGTTCCAGCTCACATCACTAAATCCCCCCCTGTTTCTGTGCCTGCCTCCCTCTGGCCGCACTGCTTATAGGAGACTCCTCCCTCCCTCCCTSCCTTAAAACGGAGGCTTTGCAGCACAGTTTGGCACGACACCCTGGGCAGACGAGAGCCCCGGGCAGGGGCAGCCTCCCGAGCGGCCCTCCCTCCGTGTGTTGGCAGGTTTCAGAAGAGCAAGGCCTGCCCCGAGGGCGAGGAGTGTCGCTGCGCCCACGGCCAGGACGAGCTCACCGAGTGGCTGGACCGGAGGGAGGTGCTGAAGCAGAAGCTGGCCAAGGCCCGCAAGGACATGCTGCTCTGCCCCCGCGACGACGACTTCGGCAAATACAACTTCCTATTGCGGGACGGCGTATAGTGAGGGCTGGGGGAGCCTGTCGGCTGGAGACACACGGGGCGGGTTTCGCGGCAGCGGCGCTAGCAGGGAGAGCCGTATCTAGCAAAGAGAACTTCTTCTTTTCTTTCGTTTTAAGATTACGAGACGATGATTTAGTAGTGGTGAATGAAATCGTGAATTTGATTCTCCTTGGCCGGCGAACGCCATGCTCACTGAGTTCATGTTCTGTCTTTCTTACCCCCCCATAGTTATTCTTCCTCCCCCATCTTTCTCTGTCCTTTATTTAAGGAGTGAATTCTGTTTGTACTGGGGTGTGAGTTGGAGAAYTTTTCCTTGTCATTCCGTTGCCCTTCAATTCAGAGTGTGGCTGCAGAGGCCGAGAAGGCAAACGGGGAGGAAAAGGTGAGAGAAAGGGCTAGACATCTGGGAAGGAGTGGCCATGACGTTCAGATGCTGCTTTTCTTGCAGAGCCAGCCCTGCTTCATGGCTACAACTGGCCCACTCTCCTGGGAGGGCAGCACCAGAAGATTTGGGCATTGAGACACAGAGCAGGCTTAAAACGTCCAGGCTTAACCCCCTACTGTGTATGCTCCCCCAAGGCATCAGCTGGGGCTGAGGGAGGTTTTGACCAGTGGTGCAGAGTGCAGCTAAAAGCAGCAGCCTGTTGCAACATTACAGCAGTGGGAACTTCACGTAGGAGACTTGAGCCTGTTCTGATCASCTGTACCTAGAAAGCCAACTGACGGGCCCTCACCAGGTAACGGGTGACCACCACAATGGTGCATAGCAGCTGTTGGGGTTGGAGGCTTTGGGCTGCTTTTTTGTTTCTTTTTGGCTGATGCAACTGGTCCAAATAAGACTGAAGCCATCTAGAAGGTGTCGTGGAGACTGGCACCCTGTGTCGCTACCCTCCACTCTGGGATATCAGTCGGAAAGAAAAGGCTGTAACCAAAAGGCGCCTGTATTTCTCTGTCAGCTTCTGCCCTGAAGGGAGGGAGGGAGGGAATGGAGATCCCTCCTTGGTGTTTCAGCAGCGTGTGTTTTAAGTGGCGCTCTGGAGCTGCGCTGTCGCCTGCACTGCCAGAGGAAGGGGGCAGGAGCCCRTTAGCGGGGACTGCTGAGCAGCGGGGCTCTAACAGGGAGGGAGGGCTTGGCGCCGGTGGCGCTTTGCTCCAGGAATCCGGCTGGAGCCCCTTGGCAGTGCCGGGCAGAGGGAGCCCGGGCAGGGAGCGGGCGAGCACAGAGCAGCACCCAGCCGCGCGCCTGCTCCCGTCCCGCGGGCTCTGTGGGGACAGGCAGCCCCGCAGGGAGCTCGCGGCTCCACGGAAGGCACCATACGGAACTTCTCCATGTGCCGGCCTGGTTCTTCCCGCCTGTCCCATCCTGTAAGCAGCAAACGTGTGTCCTGTCTTGAGCGTCCCTCTGAGCGCAGCCTGATGGTGCTCTGCGGTTTTGTTTGCGGGGATGGCACCGTCCCCTCGAACACAGACACGCTTCCCCTCTCTCTGCCTTTGTGGGTGATGTCTTTTGTATGGAGTCTCCCAGGACTGTGAGCTCAGAGCCCTCGGGGGCTATCCACAGTGAATGAAATCTGGCCATGTATTGTGTGGTGGTTTGGCATTGGCGGGTCCCTGTTCTCCTTTTCCTTTTCCCTGCTCCAATATCTTTGAGATCCCCAGCTTCAAGAGAGAGCAGATGTGGAAATGTGCAGATGCTGGGGAGGCAGCTGGCGGCTTCTAAACCGGCTTCCAGGGAGCTGCCTCGGCTCCACCGGAGTAGTTTGGGCCCAGGAGAGCCCCAACCTGGGGTGGTTGACCAGCAGGCCGCGGTGCTCTGTGCTCCCGCCCAGCCGATGCCTTTGAGCCCAGTTCCTCTCTGGTAAAACACAAGTGATGTTTAGCCGTGTGGTCCGAGCTTCCCTGGGCTGTGCAGCACTTCAGGGTCAGGCCTGGAAGGAGCCAGGCCTGGCACATCTGTTGATATCCAGGTGGCCTCTGATAGCGTGATGCACTGGGAAGCGGCTGTTCCCAGGCCTGGCAGTGTGTGGGAGAAGGAAGAGAAGCGGAAAGATCCTCACGGCTCCCAGGGCTGCCGGGCCTGCCGGATGTTGAGTGCACGGGCGCTGTGTTTTCTGCTCTGCCCTTTGCTGTAGCCGTCTGGATCGTTCCTTCTGCCGGTGCCCTGGCCCTCGTGCTGCCCCGGCCGACCTGGCTAGCTCTGGGAGAGGCGAGGAGGAGGTAGGGATCAGCGGCGGGCACCACCTCGCTGTGGTGCTCAGGGGCAGAGATGCCCAGGAAGCAAATCCCTGCCGGGGGATGTCGGCGCGGGGTTTTATTTTCTCTCATCTCCAGTGTCATTGAGCGGGCTGCTCTCCCCTCTCCTCGTGTCCCGCTCAGCTCCGGCGCCCGTGGGGCCCTCGGGACGAGGGCGAGGGGAGGACGAGCGGGTCCGAGGCGAGGGGGCCCCCGGTCATGGCTGTTGCATTGAGCATCTCGTTCTGTTTTCCCTGATATGATAACCTGGTCCGTGGTGTTGCAGTACTTTGTCACCAGGCTTGTTTTAGTGTGTATATATGTGACCCCTCCCATAAAGCATATATACACAGGTATTAAATATATTGCTCTATATAATATTATATGTGTGTGGTATCGAAGGAATCTTTTTAATGAGGGTAAAGGAAAAGGACTCGGGCAAGGAAACGCAGCATCTCCAGTTTAAATATGAAGACTTTTATTTGGGTTAGGGAAAGGGAGTTATTAARGAGGGGTGGGTTTTATATAGATAGGTATAAATTTTGAGATGGGACAGGTTTCCCTGTTAATACTTGTGAAAGCCCTTAGATGTTCTTGCAGTCCCATCTCAATGAAAGAGTTATTATTATACTGCTAAGCTTGTGAATAAAGTTTTAATGGTAAGTATTTGCTTATATTATTTAAAGGGACATTGTTAAAGGCAGGAGGCTTCACGCTTGGCTCCCTGGGCTCGCTTTATCAAGTCAAGGGGATTTTCTTTGGCATGTTCTGTGCTCTCACCAGAAATGCTCAGCGCTAACAGCTCTACAGCAGTTAAACCAGAAGTAAATTGTAGGGCTGCTTTAGAGGTGTGTTCGTGAGGTCCTGCATTTGCTCTCCCTTTTCTATATTCATGCAAGGGAAGAGTAAAAGTTTGCAATGCAGAACCAAATCTGAGGGCAGCTAACAGCAGAGTCATGTTTTCATTTTATAGCGTTAGAAGAAAATCTCATATCCCTTAAAATAACCACACGCACGCTCACACAAAATAGAGACTGTGATTTAGCTCAGCTTGGTAAAAGCTGAAGGACTTACAATGAAAATCCTTTCCCGTATCCCGGGAGGGATTTACGTCATGCTGGTGTTGGAGTTAACCTGACCTTCTTTGGGGGAAGAATAAAACCAAAAAATACCCTACTCAGCTTGTATGAAATTGTATGTCAAAAATGGATGGGTTTTAGCAAGTGAAAAGGAAAAGCTAGCAAGGGGATGCTGCAGTTCTGAGCTAGGTAGTAATGATTTCGAGTCCTTTAATATGTCTTTGTATTAATATAATTTAAGAATACCACGCTTTACTATTAAAAAAAAAAAAAAAACTTAGTATCTTTCATAAGGTCTAGTATCGGGATAATAATGTAGATGTTTTAACAACATTTTTGGTTTTGTTCTTAAATAAAAAGCAAACCTGCTTCTTTTAGCCTTTGTAATAGAAAATTAAAGTGTGCACTTTAAACCCTCTCCTGCCACAGTGTGCGTTTGCGTTTTTCAAATAGSCTGCAACAGCTTCATCCAGGTTTCACATTTTACCTACTCGAATGAGGAAGAGGTGGGAGGAGCAGAAGATTTCGGGCACTGAATCAGTTACACTTGGCACCATCCTTCAGTATCACCTACCACTCCCCTGTGGAAAACTGCATGTGTGTATAAACAGATGTGCTGTAGTTGTTTAGCCCGACAACTTGGTGAATTTAAAAGAGCTGAAGATTTTTGTTTCTGTCCCCCAAGCGCCAGGAACCTACAGGCTCTGTATTACCACACAGATACAGGCTAACTTGTGTTTGGAAACCTCTGGGAAGCAGGTCTTGAAACCAGCTCAGTGTTGAGCTTGTTTTGCTGCGCCGACCTGTCTGTTGAACAAGGTCAGCCAGTTCTTTTGCCTGACAGAGTGCACKCCGTCTCAGCCAACGCATCTCACGCTGCTCAAGCCGTGAGAAGTATCAGTGCAGATGCCTGACAAGGATGCTGTGCACTGGGATCACACTTGGGGCAAGAGTTCAGCATGAAAACACTTAATAATAGGACTTCTTTCACTAATCCATCCTGATGCAGGTTAGTCTGGGATTTCCAGTGAAGCCAAACTGTGTCAAAGACAGGCGCCATGAGGMCACTTACTGCTGCTGTAGACATTGCTACAGTGACCAGAATGTCTTTCATATTCAGTGAGACCTGAGCAGGGGAGACTTGTTGCAGCTGAGCCAGGCTGGCTACAAGCAGCTTGAGTCCTGCTGGTCTGAGGAGGAGAGGCCTGAATACCAGCTTGTGGCATAAAGGGAATGAGGAGCAGGGTGCAAYTTCAAGGTTCAGCTACGGAGTGCTTTGTCCATACAGCTTGAGAGGCCCTTAGTTTTGCCCTCTGCAGCATTAGTGAGCAAGAGGGCGCTTGGTGGTGTACACTCTGGGCTGGAGACCAAAGCTGGCACTTGCAGAACACACARAACGGGCAGAAACCCTGACAGTGGCCCCCCTGCTGCATGTTGGTGCAGATTTGAGCCTCAGCTGCAACCCCTTCACAGATCTTCTTTAGGGAGCTAAATCGCAATGAAATGGAGGGATGGGACTGGGTGGGAGTGGAAGTGACTGGTAGTCCTGTCATTTCCTGGTAGTCTCTCCTTCTCCAGCTGAATTTTTGCCTCCTTACTCTGCAGTTCCTCAGGGCAGGAGCAACAGGCCCCAGTGCCCCCAGGGCAAGAGTGTTTCCCCAGTTCGGATCCAAGCACAGTAACATGAGAGGAAGGATCAGATGGGACGGCAGCCTCAAGTGACGCCTTCCCCCGATRCAGCAGTGCCAGCCCTGGTTGCTCTTGGGACCGTCCTCTTTCATGGGTGCTCCTCTCCGCAGCTTGCTCTATGAATGGGAGCACTTTAAAAAATTCCACTTTTTCCTGAGAACCCTCGTAGGTCCTGGATAGCAGGGAGTCCCAGGAAATAGGCTTTGTTGTTGCCATGCGGATTGATCCTCCCAAAGTGATTTTTACCCACAGCTGGGATGGAAGCCTCCTCCAAACCCAGACTCCGGGGTAGGCTTGGCCTGTTTGGAATCAGAGAAATGTTTGCTGCTGGAGGCCCTTTGGTGCATTTTGTTCTCTGTGGATTTCCTCTGTCTGCCTTAACTGTGGGCTTCAGTAGCGCCGAGGCCCTCCAGGGATATGGCCAGGAAGGATGAAGAGCTGCATAGTTCCTTTGAATACCAAGACTCTCCCCCTGTCAGTATTCCAGCAAAGTTCAAAGGGACAGCGGGAAAGTCCTCCCTTCCACAGGGATGTGGTGGCCTCAGCTTTCCTCAGCTGAGCGGCTGGAGGATGGTCTGTGATGAGGATTGATTTCCAGCACAGTGTTTCAGAGCTGTCCAGAGGCTCTGGGTGTCCACAGAGGTGCGTATCTTCCTTCTTCTGGTCTTGCCGACCTGTGCAAGGCTCTCCCGTGGACCCTGGTGGATGTCCAGCTATTGCTCCTCTTGGGTTTCTGAGTTTACTGCTAGTCTTTGCACCTTCTGGGCTCTGCCCCCGGGCCGGGGCCTGGTAAAGCCTGTTCACAGAGCTCCAGAGGTGGCTGTGCCCAGGCTCCCAGAGTGTCTCGGGAGCAGGGAAGCGCYGGGAGGCAGCCCTAGGTGTCCCTCCTGCCCGGGGCAGCTTCCAGGAAGCCAGCCTCTCACATTACCTCCCTGCCTAGCCCCGACATTTTTGGCAAAAGGCACCTCACAGGGGAAGGCCACGTGCGGAGCAGGGCGAGCGCGGCTGCCACGTGAGCGCCCCGGGAGGGAGGGGAAGGTGTTGGGGTGGCRGCAAGGAGGGAAAGCTCCGGAGCTTTTGGCACCCGTGGGGGAATTTGCCTTCAGAAACGCCGTAGCCCCGGGGGAAGGTGCAGGCGGCTCCTTTGGCGCAGCAGAGCCGGGGATTCGGGGCGCTGCGAGGGGGCCCCGCTCGCCCGTCAGTGGCCTCTCGCCGGGGATTAACGCCTGCTCCTCTGTCAGCATTAAACCCGGATCTGGCCCGTGCCTGTCGTGACAGGACTAATCGGTTCAGCCTTGGTCTTTCCTGCTGGGCAGAGCTGCGAAGGAAGAGGCCGCCCTCCTCCYGCACCTTTCTCCTTAGTTAAGCCTTAATTTAATGGCAGCATAAGGCACGCGGGAGCACGGCTTAGCGGTCACCCTCCCTGATAYGGGAGGTGCAGGCTGGCCCTCCTCTCCATAGCACACGTGCATGCCTCGCTATRTACATATCCATACGTGTGCATGCCATAGTGTGCCCTGCGGGAAAGGCAGCCCTTGCGGAGGGGAGAAGGGRGCTTGGTGTAAGGCCCGGGGATTTGCTTGGAGTGTCCAAGCAAATAAGCTGGTAAATCCTCCCCTGGAATCTCTCAGTGGGGTCTGTTTTTATTTGTCCAACGCGTTCGTAAAAGAACAAGTAAAATTACGGGTGTGGGGAACGAGGCAGTGCCTGACCTCCAGCAAATGGATTGAGTGGATAAGAGGAGGAAGAAGAAAGCACTTACCTCTCCAGGTCTAAAGTGAGAAGCGGGCCTGGCACCTTCAGAGAGAGCACGAGGATCAGGTCTGATTTGCTGGACCCGCAGCAAAAGATGTCCCTGTACGAGGCGATACAGAAATTTCCAAATAATGGCTGTGCAGCCAAAGTGACTGGGAAAAGAAAAGAAAGAAGGAGCTGAGGGAGCAGGCCTGGGATGGAGAGCATCTCCAGGTCTTGCCCACTGCCAGCAATAGGTGCAGGAGAAGTCTGAATGTCCCGGCACTGCCGGCTGGCACAGGCAGCCCCACTGGGGGACCCTAGCAGAGGGCAGTGAACACAGCCCTGGCCTCTGGCRTTTGGATGGGTGTTCCTGGAGTGTAGCTCTATCGCATCCAACGCACCTTTCTGTTTGCAAGCAGTTTAGGACSAGTCTAAGTGGATTATGGCTGGTCGAGTGTGCGAAAAAATGTGCTCTTAAGGGCTGAGTGGGCCGGTGAGTGATGAAGTGGAGCTGCTGAGACGTCTGCCAACGTGGGATTACGATACTAATAAATACCGACCTGAGCTGAGAGCGGTGCAGGCAGCCCAAACGGTGCAGGCTGCGGCCGTGCCTGCAGCTTTCCACGCGGACACGGGGCCAACACTTCATCTCCAGTCACTAAACCAGCTCCAGTGCTCCTCATTGGAGGGACGCAAGGGAAGACGGACGCTCCCCACTGCTACGGCTCCACTCCATAGCCTGGCTTCTGCTTGCCTGGGCCTTGAAGTCAAGGTGTCGGTGATGCCTCCTACTAATGATCCTGCTCAAGAGTTTCTCCCGGGTGGGAGCTTGATTTTCAGGGATTATGACTCGGCATTGGCAGGGGTTTTTGTGGATGTGGTGAACACCAGCTGAGAGGCGCGCTCCTAGATCTCTTAGGAAATAACTTGTAAATGTCCATCGGCTGTCAATAATGAGAAGTGCTAAGYGACAGTTTCAGGTCTCCTTCCAGTAAATTCCCCCCTTTGCTGAACTAATACAAGTCAGTGGCTGCAGCAGCTACTGAGAAGCCCAGGGTGCCTCCAGGAGCGCAGCCAGGAGCCTGCACAAGATCCCTCCTCTCCTTAACCAGGCTCACCCAGCTTTAAAGCCAGCTCTGAGCCTGGGGCAGAATAGGCTGCCCAGTTGCACCCRGTGCTGGGCAGTTACCGTATTCCCATTCCCGTTGCCCTGCCAGCGAGCACCCGAGCCTCGGTGAAGGCCACCAGTCACCAGCCTTTGATGGGGAGCCGGCGCGGGGATCCTTGAAGGCAGCCGCTCTCTCCAAAGCCTTAGCAGCGCTTGGCAGCACTGAGTAACGCCGCTCCCTTGGCCAAGAAGACACCAGGAAAGACCCGGAGCCTCCCGGCTKGCAGGCTGTGTTGCAGGAGCGGGAGAGGCGGCCGTGTGTGATTTCCCTCCTTTCCCGCAGCCAGGATGCTCCCACCTYGGAGGCACTCTGCTCCCTGCAGCTCCGTGCCAGCGAAGGGCACCACCACGGGCAGGAGGCTGGGGGGACTGTTCCCTCCAAAGCGGTTTGGCCRCTGGTCCTCAGCACTGACTCGCCCTTCTCTTATGCTCGGAGCTGCGCGGAGGAAGCAACCCACACCAGGGAAATCCCAAAAGGGGTTAATTTCATTGTCATAGTTAAGAATTTTTACCAAAGCCATGTGATTCCTGAGCCCAACTAGATTGGGATCTACACCCCCATTTCTCCCAGCTATTCTGAAATTCCCAACCATCCAGCTAGGCAATTCCTTCTTGGTTTCTGTTGGATTCAATCAAGCACATTTCATTACAGGACCAAACAGAAACACAGAGGTATTGGGGGTGAGTAAAACTTTTCTATAGTGTTACTAACAGGAGGGGTTGTGCCTGCGCAAGACCTTACTTAACCAGGCTGTTTTCAGAGTATTTGCAGGGTGCATGAACGCACTTGCATTAAATCATCSCTTGGCGAGGAGGCGACTGGATTTCTGACACAACTTCGTGTCGCTTCCAAAGAGAAACTCTGCATTCTGGGGACAACACATAAAGGAATATGCATAAAAACGTATCTTTTTGTAAGAAAGATGCCTTATGCTGTTCTCAGTGGTAACTTAGGAGGGACAGAATGTGAATCACACAGAAATGGKGCCTGTGAGCGTCTCGGCGAGGCAAGAAGCCGGCAGGCAGATGCAAAGGACGTGTGTGCGTGCCCAGGGGACAGGCTGGCGGCTGGAGCTGCTCCCTGCGGAGCCTCCCGGCTCGCTGCTTGCCACCGTGTTGGCGGCTCGTGCGCGAAGCCGCCCCGGCCGCGCGTGCACCTTCCCGCTTCCCGCCGCGCGTGTGTTGGTTACAACACCTTGGGAAGGAAAAGGGTGCTGCCTTCGCAAAGTTAGATAACTGGCCCACTTCTTCGCAGCCGGATTGGCTGCGAGGGGCCCTGTAAAGCCGCGCTGGCCGGCGGCCCGGCCCAGCCCTGCGAGGCTCCGAGCGATTCCCACAATTGGCCGCTTCAGAGCGGCAGCGGCGGAGGCGAGGAGAGCCGGGCGAGCTGCGTCCCCACCAGGCTGCTCCCCTCGCCGCTCCGCAAGCGCGCTCCGGGCGCCTCCGCGCCGCGCGGGAAAGCTCCCGGGAAAGCTCCCGGCGCGGCCGGGCACCGCGCCCTCCCTCAGCGCTCCTGGTGCCGTCCCGGCACGGGCCATGTCCAGCTGCAACAGCCCCGGGGGCCCCGCCGCCCTGGACTTTCCCGAAGTCCTCAAGTCCCTGCTGGAGTATTCCTTGCCCTGGACCAACAAAATGACAGGTAGGACTGAGGCAATTCACTTATTTTTCTCCCCTTCCTTAACTTGCGAGGMGGGCAAGGGGCCCTTTGCAGGCTGCCTTGCTCCCCGGGCACCAGCGCGACGGGAGCGCTGGCACGAAGCRTCTTGTGCTGCTAGCAAGGGAAACGGTGGCCGTGGATTGATTACAGAACCGGTCAAGAGTGCTGAGCTCCTGATCCGCTTAATCTCCGCGCTCAGCTACTTCCTGGAAACCCTCGGAGCTTTGTGCACAGAGGTCTGGGCACGCATCTGCGCGCTTGCGTGGCGGCGGCTTCCCCACGATGCCCAGCCAGCCTGTCCCCTGGTAGAGAGCTTGGGCACTGCCACCCCCTACACGTGCACTGCCAAGGGCCCACRTGGGCACGGTCACTCTGCGCACGCTTGGAGTTTGATGCTCCCGCTGTTTACTGGGAAAGCCGGAGCAGGGAACAAAACCAACGCCGTGGAGTTTCTTTTGCAAGAGCACCTCTGTCTTCCAAAGTTTCCTGCTCTCAGAGCAGTGCTGTGCAAGCAGCTGGAARGCACCTCGGAGGTTGTTTGGTCTGGACTTCTGCCTGGGCACATCTCCCTCGCTGGGTGTTGTGGGGTCTGGATGCCGCCCGTGCCCCGTGCTCTGGGTGTCCCTGCTGGAGCAGGGGGTTGGACTGGATGATCTCTAGAGGTCCCTTCCAACCTTAACGATTCTGTGGTTCTGTGTGCCCGAGGGCCCCCATATCCCACCGCAGTCTCGCTGGTTTGGGGTGGGTGCCGCGTGCCCCTCGCAGGCTGCTTTAGCCCGCGGCGTTTCGACACGTGCCGCAGAGCTCCCGCCCGTGGCAGCCGAGGCGCCCGCGCTCGCGGTGACGGGGGCATCACCCACAGGACACGCCAGCTCTGCCCTGGCAAAACCGCCCCGCAGCTGGCAGCGGGGACGCTCGCGGGGAAGAGGGGGCCCTGCTCATACCCAGGGTTCGCAGCAGGGAAGGAGGCTGCTGTGACGGGAAGTGTTGATGCCGGGGAAAGTGGCTGCCTAGGCGCAGTAAAACAGAGCGAGCCCATGGCATCTGCCTGGCTCCATGTGGGTTACTACGGGTTATTAAGCCCTGGGTAGCTCCCCATAGCCCCAAATGGGCTCATTCTGTCACACTGCCGTGGCCCGTGTGTTGGCTCCCTTCCTTGCTGAGGCTTTCGGCTGTTTGCGTGTCGTGCGGTACGAGGTGCGGGATGAAGCTGGGTGTCCCGAGCAGGGCACGCTTTCGGAGCTCACGGATGCCCAGTGGGAAGCTGGGCTGCCTGGGGGASGCAGGAAGGAGCAGGGGAGGCTGGCGTGGCGCAGAGCCTCGCTGCGTCCAAGCGCAGGCTGGCTCGCCTCTCCCGCACCCCTGCTCTCCAGAGCCTGCTGGATTGAGTTAATCCAAGGGAGGAGCACGGGAAAGATGTATCTGTTGGCAGCAAGTATGGAGCGGCAGGAAGAGGACGATGTCAAGGAAATCGATGGTTTGCAGAGGGACTAATCTAGTCCTAACTGAGCACGGCTTTTTGGCAGCTTTCCCGCCCAGTGTCAGGACCCTGGCCTCACCTCCCGTAACCCTCCAGAGCCGGCTTTACTGTGCAGCCTCCCTCCCAGCGCTCCCGAGGCAGCCCCCTTCCCACGGAGCTCAGATCCTCCTTTCTAGGACTCCACTCCTGCATTAGCCGTCAGGGTTTGCTGGGTCTCCATCTGACACATATTATTCTAGCCAAAAAAAGCCTCCCAGTGAGAGCAGCCCTGTGTCCTAGGCCCACCCTCAGGCCTAGGCCTGAGCTGCTTTCTGCTTGGCTCCCCACTGCCGCGGAGCTGGGCTGTTCGGCATCATCTGGCCCTGACAAAATTCGAGCCGCGACTGCCAGGGTCGCTGCATTCCTCTCCTCACATCTCATTGTCTTCCTCTCCTCCTCGCCCTCAGAACAAAATAATAAAAAAAAAAAAAAAAAAAAGGAGAAATCTTAATCAAAGTCCAACCCAGCCGAGAAGGTGCAGCTGATGCTGCAGTGCCTCCTTTGGGCTGGCACTGCCTTGAGTACTTAATCCCTGGGGGCCCCACGGCCAAGCTCTGGGCAGAGGCTCCCTGCGTGCAGTGCCGGCAGGCAGCGCTCCCGCCTGGGCAGGGTGCTGCGAGCCGAACCCCAGGAATGCTCCCAGGGAACTGCTGCCCGGGAGCAAAGCAACCAGGAATGCTCCCCGGGAACTGCCGCCCGGGAGCCGAGCAACCAGCGAAACCCTCGGCAGGGATCACCGCGCCGCCGCAAAGCCAGCCCTGGCCTTCAGCACCCTGAGAGGAAACGTGCGGGAGAAAGGGGAGGGAAAAGCCCTGGAGGTGGAAAAGCCCTGTTGGGAGGTATTACATACAAGCCCCTGGAGGGTTGYAATACCCTCCTCTCCTTGAAGGAGCTGGGCACAGAAGGAGAGTCCCTGTCACCGCCGGGGCCCTCCAGCCTCGGCWACAATGGAACAAAGCGGCCGCGGAGCCACAACTGAATGGGAAGCCTGGAGCCAGCCCCGCTGGGGAGAACCCCCCTCTGCCGCTTCCTAGAAGCTGCTGCCTCTCGGAGGCTGCTCTGCCATCAGGGAGCAGCCGCTTGCCAAGCTCCGTGTGCTGCCAGTGCCCTGTGTGGTCTGGCATGGGAGCCTCCCGGCGCCACGGGGCACCTCTGTTCCACATATGCGCCTCCTCCTGCTGCCGCCCTGCGCGAGGCCGGGCGCGCACGGCTCGCCTGGCTCACCGGATCCAACCCCGCGCAAGCACGCGTCGCGCTTCCAACTCCTTGTGCCTCATCCCRTTCTAACCGCGGGCCCGTTGGCGGCACCGTGGCCGGCAGGGCAGCACGGTGCCTCTGGAGCACGTGGCGGCGCCTCCTGCCCCAGGCCGCGCGGGCAGGGCGCGCAGGTGGCTGCTGGCCAGCGCCTTCCCCGCCGGCCCTCGAGGGAGAGGTGGCGCCTGGGAGAGGGCCGTGCTGCGCCGCAACGGAACGCAGCGCAAGGCGCCTGCTCCGCACGCGCTCCTCTTGGCGGGCTGCGGGAGGAGGAACTCCGTCCCGCGTCACGACAGGGCGCCGGTGCTTATCCGCACGCCCGGAGCGCTGCGGAGCGGGATAACCCCGGGGACAGCCGCGCTCCCCAGCACTGCGGGCATGCGGGGGCTCCGGCCCGGGCCCCGTCACGGCTGCAGTGGCCATGGGGAAGCAGGCGCCTCTCCCCGCCCGCTACGGTTGTATGTGGGGCACGGGGCTGCCGCGGAGGCAGGGCCCGGCGACCTTAAATCCAGGTCATGAGGGAAAGGCGATCGCCGCATCCAAACACGGGCACCGTAAAAGCGGCGGGAGCAGCGGCCGCCGCCGCCTCGGCGCAAACGGCCGCCAACGGCCGCGGCGGTTGCGCAACCGCCCCTAACGGCCGCGGCGGGGCGCGGGGCGGCC